ACAGGGGTCATAATCCTTATACAGTTATGGTATAGTGTAGCAAGTGTGTGTTGTGTGTGTGTGTGTGTGTATGTATATGTATTTGTAGAGGTAGAGGCAGAGGCAGACGTAGACGTAGACGTAGTAGACGTAGACGTAGACGTAGACGTAGACGTAGACATAGACGTAGACGTAGACGTAGACATAGACGTAGACGTAGACGTAGACGTAGACGTAGATCTTTATCTATATCTATATCTATATCTATATCTATATCTATATCTATATCTGTATCTGTATCTGTATCTGTATCTATATCTATATCTACATATACATATGCATATATACATAATTACACAGACACACACAATTTACCCCAAAGCCCTTGTCTAACGATAGCCCGTAAACAGTTCTGCTATGATGTACCCCAATAGCTTCTTCCAAGTGCATGCTCCCACGAAACATGAGCCCTTGATTCTCAGAAACTCCCGCGAAGCCATACTGCCTGCAGAATTAGGAAACCTTTCTGAAGGCATGTGGCTGCCTGGTATGCCCGGAGAGCAACGGCACCTCCCTGCGCGGCAGTCAGCCCTCCCATGCCGACCAGAAGTCTGCGGTGAGTGCTGAGATTGAACAGGCACGGCAAGGGCCTTAATAATCGGACTATGACTAGGTGTTGTGGGCCCAATATGGTCTATTCTACCCTGCACCATAATACTATTTCTTTTGATTCTGATGCGACCATTACGACCCAAGCCCGCCGCGGTGTTTGTTCGTGAAACGTCACCAATATGCAAGCATGGACCAGGACGTGTCCTGGCTGTTGAAGCTGTCGCGTTGCGCCTAGTTAACGCTGTCACCACGACGAGTCGAGTTTGGATAGGGCATGCGAATTTTGAAGCACCGACTGCCTCGTACAGAATCCTTCCAACCCAGCCGACATTCCGGTCATTCCCTGGGTTTTTCCGGACGGTGAGTGCCGACAGAGTAGGTAGTGTCTGTGACTCCCAGAATTCGCACCATGACCCCAGTACAGTTTCCGATTACCCGATGAAGACACGGCCCAACGTAACACCAAAACAAGGCCCTCAACCCCAAGACTCTGAGCTTTTGAGCCCAAACTCCTTGGGGCACGACCCCCCAGGTGCCGGCGCGGCAGGGCACCCCCCAGGTGCCGGAGAAAAGCTTCGCTTCCGGCTGGGACCTGCCATCCGTCAGCCCGGTCTCTTGCACCTCTGCAAGTTGGCATGTAGGGGGGGCTCTAAGTCCCTATAAGACTTCGGACGCCTCTCTCTTGCAGTCCCCTAGATGACTAAAGCATCAGAGGTCTACTGAGACTACCTGCATGCTTCAGCATTCCCACTGCTAGTGTTGCGATTCGCATCTCAGAGTTTGCTTGAGATTCACACGCTCAGACCTACTCTCACGACCCTTGACATAGCTGCCGGAAAGAGGTCTCGCGTTGCTTCCTCCCAGCCCGAAGCCTCAAGCCCTGAATGTTTGTGTTCAATGCCGTGATCTCGCCGGTGAGGCCCTTGCGGCAAGTACTGTGCGAAGGGACGCATTCTCGGACTTTGGAACTACTGGTGCTTCCGCGACTTCGAAATTGATTTGGAACGCTTTGTACTTCGAATGTTTGGGGTATTCACGTCCTAAAGGTTTCTGGTGGGCTTGAAACTATGGGCTGACCAAGAGCCGGATAATGACGTGAGGCTACGAGTGCAAGACTTGCTGAGCATTTTGGCAATTGGAAGCCATCTCCTTTCTGTACAGATTTTTGGATCCTGTCGCACATAGATGCGCATCCCCCGACGCAACTATATGCGTCTGCCAGCCCCTGCGTCACTTTTGATTGATGGGGTAGCTGGGAGATCTTTGTTCAGCAAGCTGCGTCGCACAGTTGGGTGGCAGGATTGCGGAGGAAGCCTCCGAATTCAGGTGCAGCACAGGCCACAGCCACGACGTGTGCTCAAGCGTTGGAAGGAGCTCACACAGTTGACACACCGGCGCGCTGTACGTACTCACGTCTCCTCTTCGGGGATCGCTCCGCTGCTGTTTCAAAAAACGAGCCGTCACCCCACCGATGCGGCTAGGTTTCTGCAAGACGGAAATTGCCTGCTATAGAACCCTAACTAATTACACCTAGTTTTAGGGTTCCATTGAATTATTTTGCAGAACAATACTATACAGGACCTCTCAAGCCTCTGAACCCCTCAATCCTAAACCTTACACCCTACACCCTAAACCGTGCACCCTAAACCCTAAACCCTAAACCCCTAAACCCTACACCCTCAACCGTGCACCCCGCAATCGAACGGCTCACGGTTCGGCATGGCGAGAAAAAGAGCGATGATTGTACAAGAACACCAGGACGACCATACTTACAGTCTCTGGTTCTTGAGCAGTAATTCCAGTGATCTTGATTACGAAGGATACTCGTACTCTGACGTAAGAGTGTCCAAGTCCCAATGCCAAGCATGGCCCGCAGCATCACACTGCCACTTATCCTCATAGTCAGCATCATCACCATCATTGTCATCAGCGTCATAATCATAATCATCATCCTCATCCTCCTCGTCGACATCACCAGCACCAGACTAAACCTCGTGCGACCATGAAGACCTACACTGATAGAGCAGCAACCAGTTGATGTCTGTGTAAGAGGTGCCAAGCCGTTCCCGCAGATCGATGCCCCGGCCGTCAACCCGGGGCTCTCAGCCTAAGGATAACCGCAACGCCATCAAATCCTGTGGCAAGCCGAACTTCCAAAAACAGACTCCGAAACACTGAACCATCAGAAATATGGGTTCTCTTGAAATCCCAGTAGAAAGGTGACCTTAAATCCCTGAGTAGTGAATATATCGTTTTTGCACCAAGCCCTGTTCCAGCATGCAGGCCCCCATGCTAACGCCTGACAACCTCGTTCAACTTAAACTATGCTACCGCACGTGACCCTCTTAGCGTGGGACCCATAGAGCCCTTATTGTCTAAGACTGCAAAGCAGTGTGCGACTCTTTCTTCCGATTTTGTAAAGCCCGATATGTGGATGCCGCAGTGGGCCCGCTGGCAAAGTCTGCCGGAACCCCGGACGGCTGCAAGTCATGCAAGAGTCTTATAGGGTCCTGTAAGGTCTAATGGAGGTCCATGGGCTGCCACAGAGGATGCCCCAACTGTCGGGGGCCACACTAGTAAAAGGAAAGGACCCTCCGGCTCTATTCTGCCTGGAGGTGTTCACTTAGTAGCAGTAGTTAGCAGCAAGTCTTTTTCCGAGCCGAAAGAAAAGTTTTGGATGCTCGGCCCACTCTCTCTTCTTCCTTTGCTCTCTTTCTCCTTGTTTCTATCTTCTTCTTTGTTTCTATCTTTTTCTTCTGTTTCTATCATTTTCATTGTTTCTCTCTTTCTGTTCTCTCTCTCACCTTTCTGCTTTTTGACTGGATATTATGCAGTGGAAACATCGCTCCCAGGGAGGCTCGAACTCCCGACCTTGAGGTTAACAGCCTCACGCTCTAACCAACTGAGCTATGGAAGCACTTCATAATATCTCATGCAAACACAAGTTGACTTTTGTCAAAGCCAACAGTTGAGCAGCCGGACTGCCTGCTTGCTTGGCCATGCACAGTTTGGCCAAGCTCCCCTCTCCCTCTCTCTTTCTCTTTCTCTTTCTCTTTCGCTTTCGCTTTCTCTTTCTCTTTCTCTTTCTCTGTCTCTGTCTCTGTCTCTTTCTCTTTCTCTTCCTCCCTCTCTTCCTCTCTTTCTCTCTCTGTCTCTCTCTTTCTTTTTCTTTTCTTGTTTTCTTTTATTTTTCACTCTTTTTCTCGTTTTATCTTTTTCTCTTGTTCTCGTTTTCTCGTTTTATCTTTTTCTCTTGTTCTCGTTTTCTCTTTTTCTCTTTTTCTCTTGTTCTCGTTTTCTCTTTTTCTCTTTGTGTCTTTTTTCTTTTCCTCTTTTTTCTTCATATATTTTTTCTCCTTTTCTATTTTTATCTTGTCATTTTTCTTTTGTTTTTTTCAACCTCTTTTTCCTCTTTTTCATTCTTTATTGTTTCTTTTTTTCTTATTTTCCTGTTTGTTTTTCTCCTTTTTCTTTTCATCCTCTTTTTTTTGTATCATTTTTCGAAATCTTGTTTTTGTTTTTCCTTTTTGATTTATTTTTCTTACTCCTTTTCCTCTTTTTCTTTCACATCGCCCCCAGAGAGGCTCGATTTCCCGACCTTTCTCAGGTTAGCAGCCCCACGAAACCAACTGAGCTGTGGAAGCACTTGGTACCTTTGGCAAAAACAACTCCACTTCTTCCAGAGAAGAAAGCTGAGACACCAAAGTGCACCCTGACTTTTCTTTTGAGCTGCAGCTGCCGCGGAGAGTTGTTTGTTTGCTTGCCACGGACAGTTTGGCCGAGTGGTCTAAAACGCTGGCGTCAGGCACCAGTCTGCAAGGGCGTGGGCTCAAACCCCACAGCTGGCATTTGTTGCGAGGCAACCTGATGCCTTTGCCCTTTGCCAACACGCGTCGTTTTATTTAAGCCAGGTTTTTGCATATCCAGTCTTTCTACTATGTTTCCCCCCCCCCCTCCTCCGCCCCCTCCCCCCCCCTCCCCCTCTCCCCCCTCCCCCCTCCCCCCTCCCCCCCCCCCCTCCACCACCCACGTCCAACCCAGGTTCCCTCCATCCTGGGGCACGGTTTGACCCTCGTAGAGTAAAAGTTGAGTGTATGTAAGGAATAGCCCAACCTGGGGTTCCTAACTTAGGGGGGTACCTTCTGTTTTTATATGGGAACCCTACTATTTTGGGGGTCTAAATTGGGTTCCCCTATTTCGTAAACCTCTATATGCCTTCTCTTCTGCCTGGCCAAGGTTATGCAGGCTTTGGGCGCTCGGGCTGCTTGCGCCACCTGCAGGCCCGACATGTTTGGTTTAGGAACCATGGGGTCCTTGTCGATTGCTCTGACTTTTGGGTGAAGTTCGCGGCCACGTGTCCTTGTGTTTTTCGGCTTGCAGCGCTCATAAAAGCTGCCTAAAGGTGCAGCATGGTCAGCTTCTGGTTAGTGGTGTCATCCTTATTTCTTCTTGCGGAGGGTGTGGATTGGCTCGCGTGGATCGGGGACCAGTCGTTTGGGCATGCAGGGGATCCCGGATGGCAGAAACTGGACCTCGCAGACCGCTTCAAGGCGTTGCCCTGGGAGGAGCCAGGAAAACCGAATGGCTACCGCTACTTCTACCCGCATGCAACCGAGTACACGCTTGGGGAGGGCTGTGGCCGAAAGATGTGGCTCGACCTGTGGCAGCCCTTTTCTGAAACGGCTGCTGACGCGGCTGTGGGCGCCAACCTCCGTGGAGCGCTCTACACGCTCTTCGTGGACCACCTGACTCAGTTCTGCGTAAAGGTTTCGAACAAAGGCTGGGACGGATGTGGCTCGGCAAGAATCTGCGAAGAGGGAGAACCTTGTCCTAACGTGATTCTCAATGGCGACAACCCATTCCCGCGACGCATTGCCGAAGATCGGGCGTTACCCCTCAACCAGTTCCTAGAGTTCGAATTGCAGCACAAGCTGAAGCGTTATCAAGACGACTTCCTGCGTGTGGCAAACTACATGTACAACTTTGATTCCAAGTGGATGGGCATTCCGTTTGCCGCTGACACGCGGCTGCTTGGCTTCAATGTCACGACTCTGAAGCGGCTAGGACTCAAACTGCCACCTCCCTTCGAACTCGACGACTGGACATGGGAGGACTTGGTGTCATACGCTTGCAAGATTAAAGCTGCAACGGGACAAGCGGGCCTGCTGGCGAATTCTGACTGGGACGAGGACGCCAAGTTCTTCCTGCTGATGCTCCAGGGTATGGGTGGAGCTCTCTTGAGCACCACGGGTTCAGGTGCGGCAAGGGCGCGGACTTGCGGCCTGCGCATGGGAACCGAAGTTGTGGAGAGCTTTTGGAAGCCCATGGTGCAGAAGGGTTGCTTGGGATCCATTGGTGGCGGAGACTACTGGCTAGGCAGCTCCAACCAGAGCGCGGCGCTGGAAGCCGTGCTTGGCCCCATCAACCCACTGGCGCCGCCAGACGTGAAGCCGCTCTCAAACTACAACTACGAGCTTTCCTCCGGGCGCTTGACTGGCTTTTTCATCGCCAATGGTCTTGAGGAGAGGGTTGGCCGATGTGAGCTCATGTCCGAGCAAGAGAGCTGCAAGGATGAGGTTCTTAGCCAGTGCAAGTTGCTGGCTCGCTTCGAAAATCGAAGCCAGGAAGAGTGCAAGGACCACACCTTCGCGCTGGGTGGCGACTCCTTTTTGCATTCGGGGGCTTGCCAAGTGCTCTCCTGCGAAACTCGGGAGCGTTTGGACAAAGTATGGCAAGCACTTCTATTCCACCAACTACACCTTGTTCTCCACCCTCTGCAGCGAGATCCGTTTTGCCACGATGCCACGTGGCTTCACCTTTCAGGGGGGCAGCGGCCTCATGATACCCAAGCCGGAGGGCAACTATCCTCATCCAGACTGCCTCCCCGACCACCTCCTTGCCTTGAACACCTCGGTGAGCGCGGAGTGCCGCAGGCAGATTGAGGGCTGGCGCATCTTAGGGGTGCTTGGAAATAGTTTTTAACTTTTGGGTACTTGTAATTCCTAAGAAACAGCAAAAAAAAATATATATATATATATGAGCCTGAGACCTTTCGGGTTCTTTTTGCTTAGGTTTCATGTGTGCAATGAAAAAACTAATACAAATATTAAAAGCATTATAGAATAAAGTTATAATAGTTTAGCCCGAAATGTATAAGCCTAACTTAGTCATATACCCTAAGCCCTAATCGGTCCAGATTTGTTTTCATTTTTGTCGCCTGGCAAATCCCTAAACCCTGAAACCTAAACCAAGAGTTTAAGGGTATCTGAATCTAAAAGGGTTTAGGGCTAAGATTTAGAGGTGTCATATTGGGGTTTATAAGGGTTTACGATCTCCGAATTTTTTTAATTGAGTTTATAAGGATTCGGAACGTAGGGTAAAAACCTAAACCGTAACCATGCTCTGGCGGCAGATTTAATTAGGGTTTAGGGCTGCGGTGCGACTGCATTTTTCGCTCCCACGGCTGCGGCTTCGTGCTCGCAATCTCATCCATGTGATGAGTTCTGCAAAATAAAAAGGTGTAGGGTTAAAGGTTTAGGGTTTAGGATTTCACCCTAAACTCCAAACTCTTATAAACCGAAATATAAAATCCCTAACCCCAAACCCTAAGCCCTCTTAACCCCCAAATTTGAGTACTTGATATAAGATCTACAACTCCAACATCCTAAACTTGTGAAATCCTTTCAATCGATGTATTGCATGCCTTACATACCTCTGTCGCGCAGTGAGCCCCCGGGAGCTTATTACAAGCTTGGCCTTTGAGCCGCGGCCATAGGTGTTAGGAGGTATAGAGATTAAGGTTAGGAGGGTTAAGGGTTCAGGGTTTAGGGTTTAGGGGTTTAGGGGTTGAGGGGTTAGGGTTAAGGGTTTAGGATTTAGGGTTTAGGGTTTAAGGTGTCGGGTTTATGGTTTAGGGTTTAGGGTTTAGGGTTAAAAAGAAGAACAAAGTCTTAAGCAAGGTCTATATATGCTGGCGCCTGTTCTTCGGCAGGAGGGAGGTTCTGGTCACCGGCGATCAAGAAGCCTCGTCGAAACAATACTATATCCAATTACACGCAAAGTAGACGCGAATCTAAGAATCTGACCGTTGTCGCCCGGCACCTGATGTACACTTAACGTGGAACATTTGCAAATAAAGAATAAGAAAAACCTCTTGACTCCTTAACACATAATGCTTGAAGCAGATGATGCTAACAATGCTATTGCTTAACATCTTTGCCGAAGTCCGTTTGCAACTAAAATTTCTGCACGCCTGCAACAATACAATAACATGAAGTTTACTTAGCTTACATTAGATGTGTGACAAAAAGATGTCCGGCCTGGTCGTCGATCCAGAATTGAAGGACCTAAATTGCAAGACAGAAACAAAACACCCAAAACATCTTTCATCGAGCGCACAAGACGGGTATCTCAAAAAAAATCGGCCTCGGCTTCTATGAATCTGCCGAAGTCATCAAAGTTCGGAGGCGCACCTGATCTGAAAATTTTTATATTCAGCTGAAGCTCCAAGAACAACTAAATCTGAGTTTCCGGCCGGTATCGATCCAAACCTGCTGGAAGCTTAGCATCATTACACGCAAAATAAAAAATTCATGATCACGTCTAAGAGCACGACCTCGTCCTCCATCAGCAGTTCGTTAATCTGAGCAGCATAAACGACAAAGCTTGACAACATAATGTAAAGCTGTAAAAGTCAAATGTGTTATTTTGCATTTGCATTAGGCTGTCCGGCGTCTTGCGCGTCTGCGGGATCGGCTTGATGACCTTGTCAAGAGACTGTTATGCTGAGATGTAATTCCACTGATGAAAACCTCAGGTCGTAGCCAGTTGCGTCGTGGCCCTGCCGAATTTATATTTAAGATAAACCATTGTTCTCTTTAGTAAGACACAACATTAATTGTTTATACGAGGTCAGGTGTAGTAAGGAAAATATAGCGATACAGTTTTCGAAAATTAACATACACAAATTCAAGAACTAATATAATTATAGAAGCTATGCATCAACATGAAGTCAAAAGGAACCTCGAGCTGGGCGACGCAGCGCCCGCAGTAGGAGTGACCGCACGGGTACAGCGCGGTCAGCTCTTCCTTGACCTTCAGCAAATTCAAACTCCTTAAACTGTCTTTATTTATTATACAGTCCGCCTCGAAACAAATAGGACACTCTTCGTCGCCACGTGCTCCGAACACACGAACCTCCAAAAAAGAAATGTTTCCGGCGTCTGCACAGAAAGCAGCGCTGCAACAAACGTTAACAAAGCTCAGAAGCGTACATAAGTCAGAGCTTCCTCACGGCAAACCGGGCAACGCATAGCTGACAAAAACTATGCAGAGTGATGAGACTAGCTCGCCGCTAAAGTTATGAGCAGAAACAGCTTGCGCAGGATTGATAGCAGCCAACCACCAGGTGCATGCAACTCGCATATATACAGCTGAATATTAAAGCTTTATGATGGCACCGCTCTAGATGCACGTTGATGGCCTGGATCAGTCGACTGTGTCTTATATTCATGTATTTTTAATCTCTTGTAAAACTACATCCTTTATCATCAAGACATACGTGAGAGCTGACTGCGAAATGTTTATTGCCTGATATCATGAATGCGCAGACACGCATACACACAAAAATGTTATATTACTTAGGTTTTCACTGACAGGCTAATCACATGACAACGAATGCATATACCGCGATCGCAAAATTAAAATATAAAAACATACCAAGTAAAGGATAACACTAAGTTTAACCTCAAACACAAACGCAGCATCATCAAACATTTTTGTGCTATTATGCTGGTGGAGAGCATAACAATTGGTTTCTTTTACTTTTTGCTCAGAAGCAGTTGTCAGAATAAAATTTTACGAGAGCCGTGCTCGCTTAGCGACTGACGACATCACTGTTTCTGGCGTTTCACGCCAGAAGTAGTCATCGTGTGCTTTCGTGGAACAGACAGCGGCGTCAGTTTTCTTTGATTCACAGAATTCTTCTGCTTTGCAGAAGGCTTCTTAAACAACCACGCTTGTACTAAAGACTTTTCATGCGTGAAGGCATCAACAAGAGGAAGACAAGCTTTCTTGCGACAACTCTCCGAATCTTGGTCAGAACACCATGCTTTCCATTCATCATCTGACCAAAGTGAAGCATGTAAAGACCTAGCAAGAAGAACGGTTTCCGTAGTAATGTGAGACAAAGGAAAACAAGATGCTAAATAGTGAGACAGTCTCTTGATGTACAGATAATATCGCAACTTTAAGCTTAAAGCTGAGCGATGTAAAGAATTTGTGGTCTTGGACCACGAATTAATCTCCGCGTGTAGCGCTTCATTGCTTGCGGTTCCGCTTGGAAGGCGTGGCCATAGCCCGAAAATTTTTCGTCATCCTGGTATGCGGAGATGGCTTGTTCTTGCCCATTGTGCTTGCAAAGAAGCGGTGGAGTAGGTAGACTCATTATGCAGTAGCTGCGCAAAAAGAGACAGGCCTTCAGCGTGTAGTAAAACCGCACGGTCAGGAAGTACACGACTCACTTGAGTATACAGCTCATCATTCATGCATTCGTTCTTGACATACCATCTAGATTGTGCAAAAAAGCGAATGACGCAACACATTCAAACACTTCAGCCGATACAAACTTCATACACATGCAGATCTCAGAGCTTGTCTTAATCTACTCGAGGTTACTAGACTTCATGACGGCTTTTAGTCTCAATGTTCATGGCATTCTAAATTCAAACATGAAAACTTAAACTTAAAACACTAAACCCCAAACCTCAAACCTCAAACCCTAAGCATTAAATAATTTCTATTGAGATTCTATTCTCTTTTGTTTAATGTTGTGAGTAATATCCAAAATAAAGAAATAATTACATTTGCCACCCGTACTAATATAAGTATATTTCATATTTTTCATTGCTTAAAGGTTTAAAGTTTAAGGTTACAGGTTTAAGGCGTTGAGTTTAAGGTTCCAGGTCTGGGTGTTCCAGAGTTTAAGAGCAAACTACGCCTGAAAGAAAAACATGACTTTTTAAAACTAAGAGGACAAAAAGCCTTCTCAGCACCTTTTGAACATTCTTACGCTGGCTCCCAGTAGCCAGTAGCCATATGGATCTTCAGTCTTCGCGAGTTCTCGCACCTTAGAGGCAAGGGTTAGCCTGTAATTTCACACGTGATTTCTGCAGCCAAAGAAATAAGCGACAGCCACGACGGCCGCAACGACAACAACGACCACCACGACCACCATCATCACCGCCACCGTGAAGACCACTACGACCAGGACCACCACTACGACCAACACGGGAACAATACCAACAACGACAATAACCTCGCCCTCAAGTTCATATTGAGGAGGGGTTAATAGTTGGTGCATGTGGAGGTTTACGATATGAGGGGTACATTCTTGTAGACCTTATTGTATTGGTGCAAGGGGTGTAAGGGGCGCAGGTGGCCTTGGGGGCATAATAAGTGCAAGGGATAGAAGAGGGGGATAGGGGTGTAGGGGGTATAAGAGGTGTAAGGAGTGTAAGAAGCGCAAGGGGTGTAAGAGGTGTAAATGGGTGTAAGGGTTGTAAGGGCTGCACGGGTGCAGGCGTGTAAGGCGTGCAAGGTGTGTAAAAGAGGGTACGAGGCGTGTAAGGCGTGTAAGGGGCGTAAGAGGTGCAAGGCGTGTAAGGTCTGTAAGGAGTGTAAGGGGTGTAAGGCGTGCAAGGGGTGTAAGGGGTGTAAGGCGTGTAAGGGGTGTAAGGAGTGTAAGGGGTGTAAAGCGTGTAGGAAGTGTAAGGGGTGTAAGGGGTATAAGGGGTCTAAGGGGTGTAAGGGGTGTAAGGGTGTAAGAGGGGTGAGAGGATGTAAGGAGTGCAAGGCGTGTAGGAGTGTAAGGGGCCTGTGGTTCTAACCACATGGCTACTTCTGATGTTGTTGTTTCTTGTACTGTTCTGTTAAAAGAAGTAACATTTGGTGCCTTGTCTGTTGTTCTGCACCCCTCAGCCCACCCAACAACCCCAGGAGGGTTTTGTTTTAAGTACTAGTAGTAGAAATAAAATCTTGTGCTCCGTCTCATCTTTCAGCACCCCTCCCTCTCGTATGAGGTTGTTGTTTCTACTCCTTCTAGAAAAACAAAATCTGGTATCCCGTCTGTTGTTTTGCACCCCCACCGCCCCCACAACCGACCCTCCTCCAATCTTAGAAACCAAGGGTGTTGCGATTTGGCTCTTGACATAAAAAAAAGATGATCTTAAGAACACGAACTTGTGATTTTACTATTTGAAGCAGACATTATCCATCCGCTTTCATCTTGAGAACAAAAGCTGACGAGTTATTCTTGCTTTGGTATGAAAACTTGAACCATATGAAAACAGTCACACAAACAAATATAAACTCTATAGCATTAGACACAGTGGACCGATAACAGTCCCACCGTGTCTAAATATGAAGTTGGCGAGATATAATAAAACGAAGGATGGGGGAGACGGTGGACCGATAACAGTACCACCGTGTTCAGAGACCGATGTCAGTACTCTGCTTTCCCGAAGGCCGATAGCAGCACTCCGAGTTGATGCACAACGACAAGAAAGCATTATTTTAAATATTGCGTTTATGATTATGTAGATGAAAATGACTTATATATCATGTTTTATTTCTTATTCATGTAAGACTAAACATTTTTCTCGACGTAGTCCTTTAGGACATTGACAAGAATTAAAAATCAAATATGGTGTACATAATGGATTTGTTAACTACACGTTTCTGTTTCAAGCAGACAAGAAATTAGTTCAATTAATTAAGTTCTTGTGCTCAAGAATTCAAAGAATTCAAATGTTTGAAATCTTTAATCCCGTGCCCTCAGCCAGACCATTTAAATAATTCGAAGAATTCAAAGAATTCAAAGAATTCAATTGTTTGTTGTCTTTAATCCCGAGCCCGCAGCCAGACCATTTAAATAATTTAAAGAATTCAAAGAATTCAAAGAATTCAAATGTTTGAATTCTTTGAATTCTTGGGGAGGCCCAAGAATTCAAAGAATTCAAACGTTTGAAATCTTTAATCCCGTGTCCTCAGCCAGACCATTTAAATAATTCAAAGAATTCAAAGAATTCAAAGAATTCAAATGTTTGAAATCTTTAATCCCGTGCCCTCAGCCAGACCATTTAAATAATTCAAAGAATTCAAAGAATTCAAAGAATTCAAATGTTTGAATTTTTTGAATTCTTGGGGAGGCCCCCAAGAATTCAAAGAATTCAAATGTTTGAATTCCTTGAATTCTTGGGCCTCCCCAAGAATTCAAAGAATTCAAATATTTGAATTCTTTGAATTCTTTAGATTCTTTGAATTATTTAAATGGTCTGGCTGAGGGCACGGAATTCAAAGAATTCAAATGTTAGAATTCTTTGAATTCTTGGGGAGGCCCAAGAATTCAAAGAATTCAAAGAATTCAAATGTTTGAATTCTTTGAATTCTTGGGGAGGCCCAAGAATTCAAAGAATTCAAAGAATTGAATCAAAGAATTCAAAGAATTCAAATTTTGAATTCTTTGAATTCTTGGGAGGCCCAAGAATTCAAAGAATTCAAAGAATTCAAAGAATTCAAAGAATTCAAATGTTTGAATCTTTAATCCCGTGCCTCAGCCAGACCCTTTAAATAATCAAAGAATTCCAAATGTTTGAATTCTTTGAATTCTTGGGCCTCCCCAAGAATTCAAAGAATTCAAATGTTTGAAATCTTTAATCCCGTGCCCTCAGCCAGACCATTTAAATAATTCAAAGAATTCAAAGAATTCAAAGAATTCAAATTTGAATTCTTTGAATTCTTTGAATTCTTGGGGAGGCCCCCAAGAATTCAAAGAATTCAAATTCAAATGTTTGAATTCTTTGAATTCTTGAATTATTTAAATGGTCTGGCTGAGGGCACGGAATTCAAAGAATTCAATTATTTGAATTCTTTGAATTCTTGGGGAGGCCCAAGAATTCAAAGAATTCAAACATTTGAATTCTTTGAATTCTTGGGCCTCCCCAAGAATTCAAAGAATTCAAACATTTGAATTCTTTGAATTCTTTAGATTCTTTGAATTATTTAAATGGTCTGGCTGAGGGCACGGAATTCAAAGAATTCAATTATTTGAATTCTTTGAATTCTTGGGGAGGCCCAAGAATTCAAAGAATTCAAACATTTGAATTCCTTGAATTCTTGGGCCTCCCCAAGAATTCAAAGAATTCAAACATTTGAATTCTTTGAATTCTTTGAATTCTTTGAATTATTTAAATGGTCTGGCTGAGGGCACGGGATTAAAGATTTCAAACATTTGAATTCTTTGAATTCTTGGGGAGGCCCAAAAATTCAAAGAATTCAAACATTTGAATTCTTTGAATTCTTGGGCCTCCCCAAGAATTCAAAGAATTCAAACATTTGAACTAATTGAATTCTTGAGCTCACTTAATTTACTCAATTATTTAAATGATTCTTATAATTAATATAGAAAGAAAAGAACAGTGGCAACATAGTACATAAAGGTCCCTCTCTCATATATATATATATATATTCAAACATATATATATATTTTTTTTCTAGGGTTCCAAGTTCAGTTTAGGCATCATCCGAGAGTTGGTGAATAGCACGCAGCCCTGGATCTCCCAGGCGAATGGCATGAAGCGAACCCGGATGCCCTCCCCCTGGACCAGCGAAGGCCAGAACTTGGCCGAGTCGAGATACTTCTGGCAGCCTGCTACGGAGGCCCTGAGGAATGCCATCCCGGCACAGTACCCCAACGAGCCCCTCCCCGAGTATTCGAGCCTGGAGGAGCTGAAGCCCATAAGGATCGCGCTGCTACGGGCCGTGAGAGGAGGCATTCCTTCCGGGCAAGCCTTGGACGAAGCTTGTGTCTTGGTGGATGAGCTGATCCGCCCTTGTGACCCAAAGAATTGGTCTCTGGACCCGCGGTGCCTGAATCCGAAGGATAACCAGCAGGGGTGCCCGCCTGGAAGCCATTTCGTGCGCGGGAAGTATGGTGTCATTGACTGCAAGGCTTGCCCTCTTGGCACCGCCCAGGACCAGCGGCAAGCTGAGGAGACTTGCAACAGTTGCCCGCCTGGGCGCTTTGCCGCCGAGCCGGGGCGCAGTGAGTGTGTGACTTGCGCGCCGGGGTGGATCGCCACAAACCCAGGGATGTCCGCCTGCTTTACTTGCAACAATGGCTCGATGCCCGTGAATGGAGAGGCATGCCAGGCATGTGAAGCCGGTGAATATGAAGCCTTCGGTCTTTGCCAGCCCTGCCCATCTGGCTACACGTCCACAAGGGGAAGCTTTGGCTCTGACTCCTGCGTGATCCAAAACGTGCTGTTTCTTTGGAATGGCTTGCTGATCATGGGCCTGGTCTTCTTGTGTATGCTTCTGCCAAGGCTGCTCGGCTTTGGTCCTCTGCCCATTCAGGACCTTTTCGTCGATGAAGGGAGGGTTGTGGTGAAGGCGTGGGGCGCGCACGGCATGTGCAACTGGTTTGGGCTTCCGTTGCAGGTGCGGCTCACGGGTACCGGCCACCCCGCAGTGGAAGAGTGCAAGGGAATCTTCAGGGCTGTGGTTCGAAACAGTGATGAGCTCTGGCTGTTGGACAGACACAGCAAAGAACGGCTTGCGGCCGACATCGAGTCTTCCCGTGGTGCGCTGAGGCTCTGTTTTCCCTGTAGCCTTTGGTGCAGCAGCTTCGGTAGCCTGCCGTTGGCACTGCCTGCTGTCATTCTTGTCACGTGCAACATCTGGCTGGTCTGGCAACTTGTCCTGGGTTGGGAAGCAGAGGTGGACCTCTGCTTGTGGTGGTTTCTGCTTGGCTTGGCGATCGCATTGGCCTTATGCGTTGCAGTCACCCTGCGCCAGCGACGTAACGGGCTTGCTTCCGTCCCACTAACCCGACGCCTAACGCAGTTTCATGAGAGGATCCTGCATGCAAATCCCCAGCCCGCAGCAGCCGAGCGAGGGCCTGCGCGGGCGATTCACGCAGAGAAAATTGTGGCTCTGTACGAGTACTTCCAGTCGTTCATTCGGAGACGGACCATGCACTACGTGGGCTACAACCTGTTGATGCCACTCACAGCATCCCACAAGCTTTCGTACGCAGAGCTCGTGGGCCCTGCGCAGGTGGCTTGGTTTGTGTCGCACTGCTGGAGCATGCCCTTCGCGGACTTCGTGCAGAGCATCCGCGCCTTAGGCGACACGAAGACCGACTGGCGAAAGATCGCCTTGTGGGTCTGCTCTTTTAGCAACAACCAGTGGGCGGTGGAGGATGAGCTGGGTGGTGGGGATCCCATGGACTCCTCCTTTGGCTTGGCCCTCTTGAGCCCGAGCTGTCGAGGCACCGCCATGGTCTTGGATGCGGGCGCCGAGCCCTTGCAGAGGTCCTGGTGCCTCTTTGAGGTCTTTCAGACCTTTCGCCTGGCAAAGCAGCATGCGGACCACCAGGGGCTTCTCTTGTGCACCCCTACAGGCGTGCTGCAGCAAGGCACGGCCAGTGTCGACATGGTTCTGGTCTTGGCGAAGAAGCTGGCGAGCATCCGGATGGAGGACGCGCAGGCCTCAAGGCCACAGGACAAGATTAACATTGACGCCTGTGTCCAAGCTACAGAGGGTGGCTTCCCAGCAGTAAACCGCTTTGTTCGCCAATGCATCAAGACAGCCTTGGACAATGCCCACAGCTCCTTCCAAGGACACTATACAGCCTTGGTGGCTTTGTCATAGTTGGGAAAAATAGTACATGTTTAAAGGGTACTTAAACCCAATAAGGAATATAAGTTTAACATTTGTAATACTATCCCAACCATGAGTCAGGTGGGGGCTCTCGAGGAAAGCATGGAGAGCGTCGAGCACGGCGATCTGAGGCCGTGCCTGCTGCGACGTCGGCGTCCTGAGGAGGAACACAAGCTTCGCACTTAGTCAGCCGACCTAAGCAGCCTGCGGCCCCAGGAAGGGAACCCTAAACCCTAAACCCTAAACCCTAAACCCTAAACCCTAAACCCTAAACCCTAAACCCTAAAACACAGTCATGGCATAGGATGACCGTCTGAGAGGGCAGGGCGCCGATCCCTGGCCCCCCAGCCCTTTAAAGAGCCCTCCGAAAACCCTTTGGGCCCGTCGGGTGGTGAGGTTTGACTCTTGAAATTTCTGACCCAAAAGCGGTTGTTTTCGAACCCCCCACCTTTGAGTATTGCTGAGAGGTTCCATTGCCCAGGCTCATGCATTGCAGACAACGTTAGACAGCTGCTTTAGTTCCGGTTGTGTGTTTCACTTGAAACTAGCTGAAGCATCTCCAGTCTCCGTCTTTAGTGTCTCGGGGGTCTGCGTTGATGTGACAACGCTCCCCGTTCATTGCAAAGAATACGGCAAAACGCCCGCAAGCTCGGAGCCAAGAAATTCAAAACGCTGCAGAGCCGAGGGCCAGAAGTCCCCCGAGCCGCGGCTGCACCCGTGGCTTTGTACAGAGTGCCAAAACGTTTTTGGGGGCCGCAGCTTAGTTCTCTCAATTCTGCTCTCTTAGGGTGGCTTTGCTGTTGGGGTTCAGTTGAGGGGCAAGTACTGCACTTGCTTGGCGCGGCAAGGGGCCGCCTGTTAGATGTGCTATGATGTATCTAGATGTACAGGAAGTGGTAGCCATACTCTGGTGCCTGTTTCCGGAAATTAGGAGTACCTCTTGGGGTCCTCATTATTTGGAAATCCTACTCTTTGGGGACTACTATAAGGGTCCCTTATATTCGAAAACTCCCACAGAGGTTGGCTCTAATGGTGTCGCTGTCGCTATCCCATCTACGCTCCTCGGCAGGTTGACCGGCTTGAGTCAGTATTGCTCGAGCCCTTGTCCAGACGCAGAGGTGCGGCCGGGGCTGGGCGAAGTTAGACAAGGTGTCATGGCGTCAGGGTGGCCCTAAAACTTAAACCTAACCCTAAACCCCAAACCCTAAACCCTAAACCCTAAACTTGCAGGCTTAGCAGGCACTCAAGGCCAGCATTGTTGTGGCCGATGATTTTGCAGAACATGTTGTGGCGATGCTGCCGGGGAAGTGGAGTGTCGAACTCGTATTCTTTGTCTTTGGGCCGTGCGTGGTGCTAGGTCCCACTGCTGCTTTATGAGACCCTGCCAGGTTCGAGCGGCAACGAGACCTCTCCCTTTCGCCTGCCGCGCTGGTGGGCGTGAACAAAAAGCTGTTCCAGCTTCGGATCAGGCATGCAATTTAGGGTTTAGGGTCTACGTTTTGGGGTTTAAGGTTTAGGGTTTAGGGCTATCTTGAGCCCCATCCTCGCCTTAGCAGGTATCTCAGGTAGCTGGGAGCAGGCAAGGTGATAGCATGCACGCAAGCACGCCCCGCCTCGGCCTAATCTCGCAAGAAAATCCTCCTTGTGATGTTGTATTATTACCGCTGGTAAGACTACACGGCTCAGCTACGGTAGCACAATAATAGTATAAGACAAGACTGCTATATACACTATTAAGCTCATGTCTAATGTGTCTCTATGATCTACAGGCCCAAAGGGCTATGATACTCTATTCTTGTTCCCAGGACAACTCAGACTCCAGAAGCAATATCTAAAGTGCCTACACCGTGAACCCAGCACCTTAAACCACGAGCCCTATATGTCGCAGCCTCCGGACCTCCGCGAGTTCTTGGAGCCGACAAACAAGCGCACACGTTCCACAACCTTCCAAGAATCTCTGATGACGCATGCTACTCTGCACCATCCTACCAGTGTACCCCATGACTCGACAACTTGTATCGTTTCTTCAACATAGTCGGGGGAAGCCAACGTCCAAGTTCCATTGCGGCCCAAGCGTCATTTGAAGGCAGGTGAGCATGCTAGTACAAACCAGATTGGAAAGCCTGAGTAGACAGATGACAGTTGAATGCATGATTGTGTCGCACCGACTTGCGAAGTCTCGAGAAGATCGGTATGTTCATTCCGTGCCAATCCATGGGCTTGTGTTCCTTTAGGAGAGATGGCCAAAATGGTCAGGAATTTGTTGCCATGCTTGCTGTTAGTCAGCGTCTTCGTCGCTGCTGGATGGCATTGATGCATTGGGATGTTCCCCCTTATCCTAGCAGTCCTTAATGGGGCTTATAGTACCCCCAATTTCAATCCCTGTTAAGGACTGTTCGTATAAGGGGGAACACCCCAATTGATGTACACCGTTTTACTACTCACAATATGTTGAAGCTCTTGTGCACCGGAAACTGACACTGAAGGCATGTCGTCGGCAGCTCCTTAGGCCATCCGATGGCCCACCAGGCAGCTTCTGGCTTAGTAGGGAATGAGGGAATGAGGGAATGAGGGCCCTATATACTCCCTTAAAGTGTATGTATATATACATATATACATACATATGTATATTTATATATATATATATATGTATATATATATACACACATATATTTTGGGGCCTCATTCCCTCATATCCCTACGAAGTACCACGGGGACTTGTTAAACTGCGTTTGTAGCTTGTGGTGTTCTCGAGCAGCGACATAGGGATGAAGACAACGATCACGCGATGTGCCTATGTTCTTAGATGTGGCGAACTTTGCAGTGATGTGCAAAACGGAGAAGACGACGGGCTGTGAATGTCTGCATGAGGTGCGCAAGATCCACGTGCCACGCAGCTTGGACGATTTTTACTCCCGGGGCGGGTCGTTAACGTCGCCTTGTCATTTTTTGCTTTGTCGAAGCTCCTTCGACACAGGTTCAATATGAAGCTGTGTAAAGGTATCAAGCTTGTTCCTGAATCGGAGGGAATTTCTCATGCACTGGTACCCCTAACACATGCTGCCAATTCGAGTGGGCTCCTACACAATTTTCGTTTGCTTTTTCGTTCGGATTTTGTTGGGTACGGATTGGCTTCATGCAGTGGTGTGTATGTCGTGTGCGTGTTGGATCATGGGCATGTGAACTCCAGGGTCAGAGATCCGGAGTTCACCACCAAAGGTTTGTGGCCGCTTCGCCACCTCGGCTTCAGCACTTGCGCAGCGGCGCGGCAACGCAGCGCAGAGCCCTTCCTGAGGTCAGCTTTGGGGCTTCACATCGGGACACTTGCTGAAGCGCCATGTGGTGTATTGACAACTTAGCAGCATTAGGGCTCGTGCGCCACTTTCGTTTCAGGTGATAAGGGAATGTACACAGCACGCAGGATTCATCAAGCAAGCCATGTTTGGCATGCAGCAGGCAGTGCCTGGCATGAAAACAGTTGTAGAGAACAGGTGTTAAGCCCTAGCATCACTTGTCAGGCATCCATTCTTGTGGCAGACCTGCAGCCAACGCCTGCTGTCGGAGCCCTTCGTACGTTCGGACTCTGCATGTGGCGTTTTCCTTGGAAACATCGTTTTGCTTGCAGCTGAGCTGCATTTTTATGTGAATTTGCCGAACACAGGTCGTGTCTTCCGCATTCAACGTCGTCACGTTCTTACCGCAGTGACCGTGGCAGTGTTCTGAAGTGTTGAAGTTATGAGTTCTGAAAGTGTTATTCCTGCAGCGCCGCTCGGGCTGACGTCACTTTGAATATGCAGATACCGCCAGTGTTCCATACTTGCAAATTTTTCATATTCTGTGGCCTGAGGGCAATTTGCTCTCTGCCTCTTGATCGGGAGCATCAGTGATCTGAACAACTTCAGGTACTTGTGGCTGTTGATGGTTCTGGCCCCGAATTGGTCCGTCACAAGGTGCGTTTCACGAAGAACGGAGCCCTAAACCCTAAACCCCCTAAACCCTAAACCCCAAACCCCAAACCCCAAAACCCTACAACCCTAAAACCCTAAAACCCTAAAACCCTAAAACCCTAAAGCCCCTCCAAACCCTAAAAACCCTAAAAACCCTTAAAACCCCAAAACCCCCAAAACCCTAAAAAACCCTAAAAAACCCTAAAACCCCCAAAACCCTAAAACCCTAAAACCCTAAAACCCTAAAACCCTGAACCCTAATTAAATCCTGAACCCTAAGCCCTGAACCCGAAGTTGTGCCACAGGAAGATCATGGAGCCCCTGTGGCCGGTGCTACTCTTCGCCGCCGTGCACATCTTCATAGTGCCTTGGTAGTAGAGTAGGCAACCTTTACCCTTTTTGGGTTTAGGGTTTAGGGTTTAGGGTCTTAGTTCCTCCAGGTTACTGGACAACTAAGGTCTTCAATGTGGCCTCTGTGAACAGTGACTTGGTGGCCTTAGGGCAGAGGCAAGCCCCAATCTTCCTAAGCCCCTAGTTCTTGGGGTAGCTACATGATCCCTGAATATATGGGCCCTAAATTGGGGAGCCCTTCTATACAAACCCTAAACCCTAAACCCGAAACCCTAAACCCTAAACCCTAAAACCCTAAAACCCTAAAATGCACTGAGACTGAATGCTCATTCAGCGAAGGCGACAACCTGTCCGATTTCACAGAACTCGCGAAAGTCTTCGATCCGCGAGTCAGTGCTTCACTCAGTTCTGCCAATTCGGGTTTAGGGTTTAGGGTTTAGGGTTTAGGGTTTAGGGTTTAGGGTTTAGGGTTTAGGGTTAGGGTTTAGGGTTTAGGGTTTAAATCAAGAGTGGCGACCACGCCGCCGAAGCAAGCGCATGTTGTGTGCCTGTGAGCCTCTGATCTGCTCAGCCGAGCATTTGTTTGTTTGTTTGTTTGTTTGTTTGTTTGTTTGTTTGTTTGTTTAGGGTTTTAGGGGTTTTAAGGGTTTTTAAGGTTTGTAGGGGGTTTAGTGTTTAGTAGTTTAGGGTTTTAGGGTTTTAGGGTTTTAGGGTTTAGGGTCTTCAACGGATGCTGGCTGGGATTGCGTACTCCTTGGCATCACTCAAGCAGCTTCAGGGCGGATTAAGTCTACAAAAACCCTAAAACCGTAAAGCCCTAAAACCCTGAAACCCTAAAACCCTAAAGCCTTCAAACCCCAAAACCCCAAAACCCCAAAACCCCAAAACCCTACAACCCTAAAACCCTAAAACCCTAAAACCCTAAAGCCCCTCCAAACCCTAAAAACCCTAAAAACCCTTAAAACCCCAAAACCCCCAAAACCCTAAAAAATTCTAAAACCCCCAAAACCCTAGATCCCCTAAAACCCCCAAAACCCCTAAAACCCTAAAGCCCCTACAAACCCTAAAAACCCTTTAAACCCCTAAAACCCCAAAACCCCAAAAACCCCCCAAAAACCCTAAAACCGCTAAAACCCCCAAAAACCCTCAAAACCCCTAAAACCCCTAAAACCCCCCAAAACCCTAAAACCCCTAAAACCCCCCAAAACCCTGGTCTGAAGCCATGCCATGCGCCGCCTCGGAAAAGCGCTTGCGCTTGCACTGGCCGTGGCCATCACAGCCCTCTTCTTCGCGAGGCAGTGGCGTTTAGGGTTTAGGGTTTGGGGTTTAGGGTTTAGGTTTTAGGGTTGAGGGTTTGGCGTTTAGGGTTTAGGGTTTGGGGTTTAGGGTTTTGGGGTTTCGGGTTTAGGGTTTAGGGTTTAGGGTTTAGGGGTCAAGGGCTTGGCCTTGTCCCTGCTCGGGCCCAACCCCCAACAACTTTGCCAGACACTGCATGCGGCTTGTCATTCCTCAGAATGCACCTCTAACATGTGGAAGCTGAAAGGCTAGACGCACTAAACCGGAAAGCCCCTTGGGCAAGGAACGCGCGTTTGCATTCTGAGTTTAAGGCAGATGGGCACAAATAGTATCAGGAGCCGCTTCGCTGTGCAACAGGTATTTCCTCGGCCGTGGCAACGACGCGCGCCGACGGGCTGGAAAGTAGCCAGCCGCAGTGGCACATGGGGGGGTTTCTGAAAAACCCTCTGGTACAGATCATCGTACGTTTTGGCCGTATTGGTGGTGGCCTCTATTTTGGGAAATGCCGAAGGGCATGTCGCATCTGGGTGTCAGGTGGGCTGATGCGGGGGTGAGCTGAGTTTGCAATCTTGCCACCGGACTACGCAAGATCATGTGCCTGAAAGTTTATCTTCCCACTTTTCTTTGTTGACTGGTCACATCCTCCTCGGCTCGATCGTAAGGCAGCTCCTGTACTGGCTGCATGAAGATGCAGCTGAACAGCCGCCTGAACAAGGCACGGTGCGGCTGTGCCCCGTAAGCCCCAAGCAGACATGGATGCAGTGGGAGATAGCCCCAGCTCTGGACGAAAATAGGGGTACCCTTGTCCCCAAACCCAAAACCCTAAACCCTAAACCCTAAACCCCAAACCCTAAACCCTAAACCCTAGACCCTTCGGAAACCCCGATATCCGGAGGCCAAGTGGATGATCACCCGGCAGCCCACGAAGTCGCCAGCGCAGGATGGGACGACAGCAAACCTGGGTTTAGGGTTTAGGGTTTAGGGTTTAGGATTGATGTAGGGTTTAGGGTTTAGGGCTGGGGGAAGTGTGCCATGTGCGGGTTGATTGTCAATCAGAGACTTTTCTTTTCCTTGCAAGCCCCCCCCCAAAAGGGGGCCCTTACTCCCAGAACTCCCTCCCCCATGTGCGCCAGGAGGCCACAAGACAGGGCATACACCAGTGGACAAGCAGCCCTCTGAACCACCTGGAAGTGCCTTAGCTCCCACTTGGGAAGCGCGTCGAAACCCTAACCGGCCTGGGCTCTCGTCATTTTGTTTGGCTCAGTGTCAGCTTCCTAGAGGCCCCTATTTTGCTAGCTTGGTGTTTGCAAGCAGGGAATGAAGGAATAGTAGCCATGTCAGAATTAGCATGACACGACCCCGTTCCTGCATTGCCTACGGGCTACATAGAGGGACATACCTGACTCCCTCATCTCCTGCTAAGAACCAGTAAGTCTAAGGATTGTTTCTCGAATTTTGATTGGACTCTTAGTCCTCATGATGTTGGGACAGTTCTCAGTTCAAATTCAGATAGACTTTCTCTTAAGAATCCTAAGCCCTATGCTAGACCGTCAATTCCCGAGCCGAACCCCAAACACCCCTAACCCTGAACCCTAAACCTGAAACCCTAAACCCTGAACCCTAAACCCTAAACCCTGAACCCTAAACCTTAAACCCTAAACCCTCAACCCTCAACCCTAAACCCTAAACCCTAAACCCAAAGCCCCGTCAAGGTGATGGGGCTCCGGGAAGCATGTGGCTTGGGAATCTGCCCTCCAAAGAGACTCTGTTTGCCTCAGCAAGTTTATTTTTACTTCTATTTTTATTTTGTTTTGTGTTACTTTGTTTTATTTTGTTTTGTTTTGTTTCGTTTTATTTTGTTTATTTTTGATTTTTATTGATCATTTTATTTCATCTTATTTTATTTTATTTTGTTTTATTTTATTTTATTTTATTTCATTTGATTTATCTTGTTTTGTTTTATGTTTTTCTATTCTACTTGAATATGTGCTTTTATTTGATTTTGATGTATTCTTTTTTTACTCTTTGTTTTAATTTTAACTTATTACTATTTTTCATTTTCACTTTATGATTCTTATGTTTATTTTTCATTACTTATTCGTTGTGTTAACAGTTTTTGTGATTTTCTTTTTGATGTAGGGTTCTTAAGGTTTTTAAGCTTCGAGAATTTCATCGTTTTTGGTGCTCTTGGGGTTTAGGGTTTTTTGAGGTTGGACGTGATTCAGGGTTTCTTGGAGGTTATCAGGTGGGTTCAGGGCGTAGGTCTTCCGAATTCTTAGTTTCAGGAGCACCTTTGTTTGTTTAGGGCTTCGTGGTTTAGGGTTTCAGGGCTTGCGATGGTATGGGTTTAGGGTTGGGGGGTGTGGGGTTTCACGGGCGCTCGCTTACTTACTTTGGGGGTTCAGGGTTCCTCTCTTTTGAACCCCGACCAGAGTGTTCTTTTGCTTGTGGGAACGGGGAAGATGGCCAGTTGCCGCCTGACAAGCATTCTATTGTATTCACAGGCACTCTCTTTGCTTGCCACGGACTTTCCTAAACCCTAAACCCTAAACCCTAAACCCTAAACCCTAAACCCTAAACCCTAAACCCTAAACCCTAAACCCTAAACCCTAAACCCTAAACCCTAAACCCTATATAAACCCTAAACCCTAAACCCCAAACCCTAAACCCTAAACCCTAAACCCTAAACCCTAAACCCTAAACCCTAAACCCTAAACCCTAAACCCTAAGCCCCGCACCCCTGGGCCCAACTCCCTGCTCCGAGGATCTCTCTGCCGCCGAGGTGGCCCAGATGGCAGCCCCCCCGGCGACGCCTCGGGCCTCGAGGAGCTCAGGGCGTTTCTAGCACCATTTTTCTGAAGAACCCCCCAAAAATAAGGAGAAAAAAAAAGCGGTGATCCCTTTGTTGCCCCTTTTTAAGGAAGAGTCTTTTCTTTTCATATTTGAGTGTATGGCAGTTGCTTTGAAGATTCTTTTGGTATCCCGGCCCACTTTTCGGCTTGGACCTCTTACAGAAGAAAAGTGCAGGAGGCACGACTTCGTCCTCTGTGCGAACGTGGCAGGCCTGCCTTGCGAAGTTCGCGCCTTCTGAACTACTAATTGCTTCAGAACCCCCAAAAATATACATATTTTTTCTTTCTATAAGGCTAAAAGGGTCATTATTTAGTATTTTCTGGGGTTCTCAAGCAAATAGTAGTGAACGGAGATGCTTAGTTGCCCCATTGGCAGGAACGCTGGGCAGCTCGCTGCAGGCGGCCAAGGCATCCTTTTGCTGGGCTGACAGCTTGGAGTTCCCTCCAATTCCTGCGCTAAACCCTTATCCCTTAACCCTCAACCCTCAACCCGCAACCCTAAACCCTAAACCCTAAATCACGAGCCCGGAGCCCCAAACCCTAAACCCTAAACCCTAAACCCTAAACCCTGAAAGCCCCTGCCCTAAGCCCCCTGGCCTCCGTCATTCGAGCTCCAGGCCTTCTTCACCATTGCCTCCAGGCTTCAGCAGAGGCATCGGACTTCTGGGGCCTATAGGTCTCGCATGCTTCAGGTGTTAGGGCAGTCCTTAAGTATCTCAACGCTGGACAATTTTGATGAGCTATTCCTGCCCTCGCAGCAGATTCGGGTGTCTATCACGCATGACGTTCTTAGGTTCCTGCGCAGGAAACCATGCAATTGGGGAAGCTGGGGGAGGGGGAAGGGGGGTGGGTGGGGATGAGAACGTTCATGTCAAACCTGCTTTCAGTTTCCGAATCTGCGCGTTCGAGTTTCCTGAATCAGCGGTTCTTAGCTTCCAGAATCTGCGGTCTCCAGTTTCCCGAATCCCCGGTTTCCCAGTTTCCTGAATCGGCGGGTTTCCCGAATCCTGGTTTCCCCGAATCCGTGCGTTTTTGTTTCCGAATCTGCGTTTTCCAGTTTCCGAATCCGCATGTTTTCAGTTTCCAAATCCGCCTCTGACCCTTGGTTTGGGAGTGTTCCTATGCCCAACCTTGTAAGTAGAACAGGGTTCGAAAGAGTCATTCTGGTATATTTACAAAGAGACCATAGGGGAAATACTATTGGTCATTATTCCGACCTCTTCAGAAACGTTCTCTTGTCAACTGAGCGAGTGCCTGGCTCTGACACCCTAGATGCCCTGGGAGTTTGCCACGGCCTTTGCATTTGGGACCCACCAGCTACGTGCGAACGCCCTTCGACCCCCCGCCATGCGCAGTATTTTGTTGGATTCCAGACCTCCGTGCCTTAAACTTCGAAGTTGCTAGATCCATCAGATTGCTAGGGGTAGCACAGGAACGGTGAAGCACGTGTTTAATGAACTGCTTGCTTCTGGCGATGCAGGGGATGGCGGGTTCGCGTGGTTCTACCGGCCGTCGGCGGCACCGAATTTGACAACTTTCGCCTGGATGAGAAGAATGGCACCTCCTTGGGCAGGGTGCTGGATTTGCCACTCGGTGCCTTCTCTAGTGTGGAACTTGCGATACTGTCACTGTCGGTTCAAAAGGCTCTCGTCGAGCTTAGCAGTTTCTGCTGCTCTGCAGAATGAACATCCCTTAAACCCGAAACCCTAAACCCTAAACCCTAAAGCCCTTAACCCTAAACCCTAAACCGTATGCAGTTCTCTCATCATGATTTTTGATGAGTCAAGTTCGCCTTAGACAGCTGTGGTGGTACGCAACGTGTTGTGTTGGTGGACTTGCCACCATCTCAGCCCAAGCCCTGGATGCATACAGTCCTTTCATGATCACCATGTGGGGGTTTACAATATTCGGGGTACCCTGTACCCTTTTGGGAGTCCTTTAAGAGGATTATATGGTAGTTTAGGGGTATATAAGGGGTACCCCCTATGTTGGGAAATCCCCAATGTGGTGGCCTCAACGGCGTTCCAACTTGCAAACGCCCTCTGTGCTTTCGTCGTGCACACTTTCTCGCGGGTCAAGGACACCGCTTCGCAAGCTCTTGGACATTGACGAGGATCCTCTTCGTTCCTGTGGCTCATACTAGTTGTATTCTAGTATGGTCCCTCTATGATTGTACTATAATGCCTCTCAAAGCCCTATTCTAATTCGAATGCTGCGGAGGACTCTGGCGCCTCGATCGAGCCGCGGAAGAAGGTTTGCTGGGAGAAGGGCTGTGACGTCTCTGTGCCACTCGGCAACTCTGCGGCCCAGGACGCACTGTGTATTTCCGACGTTGGAGGGTTTAGGGTTTAGGGTTTAGGGTTTAGGGTTTAGCCTCCTCATGCCGTACCCACACGTGCACCCAAAACGTCGAAATCGATGATGCTCTTGGTGTCTCCGGTGGGCCTGGACGCTCTGTGTGAGAGCCCCCATGGACGTCGGAGTGCGAAACACCACCGTGCTCCACATCGTGCTTTCCCGCCTCGATTCGCCACATGCTCTGTTGTTCATTTGCATCGCCCTCCCACTCTTTTGGCTGACTGGATGGGTTCGCTACGCGTGTCCGTTCCAAAAGATTTTGCAAAGGGGCGTTCACGCTTCGGTCCGGTGCAGGTGCTCCTTGTGTTGTGGTGGCATGTGTGCACGGACTGACAGGGTGGCGCAGGGATCCACAGCGGTGGGATTCCAGTGCTTCCTTTAAGGTTTAGGGTTTAGGGTTTAGGGTTCTGAGAGTTTGTAGCGTTATAGGAGGTCGAGAGCAGCTCTTGGGGTGCTCCAATCAGTTGGGATGTTCCCCCTTATACTAACAGTCCTTAATCAGGATTCTATTAGGGGGGGGCACTAGAATCCGTACTCAAGTACCCCCTGTATCCCCTGTAGCGACTATAACAGGGACATAAGGGGGTACCAGAATTCCTCTGAAGGACTGTCGGAGTGGTCTTGGAGTGATTTGCAGATTTTTAGTTCAGCCGCCCTCCTATTCCCGGAGCCGCTACAGAGGTTCAGTCTGGTGAATGTCCGGAATGAGCAGCTCCGAACTGTGACAGTTCCGCACATCTGGCTAGGCGCGGCGGGAAGCCTTTGAGGAAGCCTGTAGCTGGGGTTCTAGGGTTGTTCGGGCCGGTGTCTATTTAAGGGTCTACGGGGTGGGAGGGAGTCTGCACACCTGTGCGACTGCGGAGCGTTTGTGGTCCAAGAAAGCCCCTGACAGGGCCCGGGTACGAGCGGTGGATGTTCGAGCAGCTATTCGACAATCTGGGGACACTTGCGCTTCTCGGCCGATGTGCCCCGTTGAGTCCCTGTTGTTGCTGTTGCCGGGTTTAGGGTTTAGGGTTTAGGGTTTAGGGTTTAGGGTTTAGGGAACCCACAAAGCCTTGGTCTACCAAGGAATGCACCCAACTTCACTGATGTGATCCGCGTGTTCTGGCAGTCCCTGAGCTTGTTAGCGCCCGTGTGTGGAAGTTACGGCAAACGCCCTGTGTGAGATTTGCGGGGTTTCCGGAATATGACGAGGGGGTACTTCTGGGGGTCCTTGTTATATGAGGGAATCCTGCTATTTGGGGTCTGAATTCGGGGTCCCTTACTTCGTAAACCCCCCATATGTCTCTTGAAGTCGTGATACCGAGGATGCGCAGCTCCAGCCCCACCGAGTGCAGCCCGTTTGTGTATCCAGACCTGGCATACGAGGCCCACATGTCTTGGTTCGGTGGTGGTTTGTGATGCATGACAAGCAGGCTGTTCTAAGGGTCCTTCAAGAAAGGAGTCCCTTGGAAAGGGGGAAACCATACCTAAAAAAGGGAACCTACATGAACTATGGTGATTTTTGGGACAGGTACTTTGAACAACTACTGTACTCTCTTTGTAAGCTGCAAGTCCTTGCAGACCCCCTTGCGCCCTGAAAGCCCTCTCGAACCCAAACCCTAGGCGACAAGCCTCCCCTACACCCCTACACCCTCAAAACCTAAATAAAAAAAACCTTAAAACCCTAAACCCTTATACCTCTTAAAACCCTAAACCCTGAACCCCAAATCCTAAACCCCTACACCACTAAACAAAACCGTCAAACCCTAAACCCTAAAACCCTAAACCTCTACGCCCTTAACTCCCGAAACCCTTAAAGCCCTAAACCCCAAAAAACCCCAAATTCCCTAAACCCCAAAAACCCCCAAATTCCCTAAAACCCTAAAACCCTAAACCCTAAACCCTAAACCCTAAACCCTAAACCCTAAACCCCTATCAGAACCCTAGACCCCTCGAGCTGGAGGTGGGCCAGGCCATGCGCCTGAAGCCCCCAGAGCAAGTCGAGCGCTGCGCGTTCGTCTACGCCCGGGAGCCTAGTTTAGGGTTTAGGGTTTAGGGTTTAGGGTTTAGGGTTTAGGGTTTAGGGTTTAGGGTTTAGGGTTTAGGGTTACTTTCGATAGGGGGCCCCACTTCAAGGGTCCAAGGATGTCTGGGGGTTGGGGGTTGAGGGTTTAGGGTCCCCAAACCCCAAACCCCAAACCCCAAACCCCAAACCCCAAACCCCAAACCCTAAACCCTAAACCCTAAACCCCAAACCCCAAATCCTAAACCCTAAACCCTAAACCCCGGGGTCGAAGTGAGCTCCCCAGGTCGGCCCCATCATCCGCCGGGATCGGCTCTGGCACTTGCGCCCGGGTCCCAACTACACGCAGCGCCTTGGGCTGGAGTTTCAGAGGCAAGCATAGGCTAGGGTAGAGGGTTTGGGGTTTTGGGGTTTAGGGTTTTGGGTTTGGGGTTTAGGGTTTGGGTTTGGGGTTTAGGGTTTAGGGTTTCGGGTTTGGGGCTTGGGTTTAGGGCCCCTCCGCCCATGAATACCAGCATAACAGTTGTGTGGAGCTACCGGAGACAATGGTGGTCCGGAGGCATGGTCGAAAAAAAACGAAACAAAGAAAGCAAGCAAAAACATCAACATTTCTGGGCACGAGTACTGAAGCCAAATACACCAAGCACCAAGAGAATTAACATATCTGAGCGCTAGCGCTGACACCAAAAAACTAGCAAAAACCAAGCGAACACAAATATTCCGGGCACCAGTCTGCCGGGCGCCAAGTTCTAGTCCTTGTCTTCAGTTGTTTTGCTGTCAGTACTAGTGCTCAGATGTTTTTCGGGCCTGGGCCTGAGGAGTGTATGGCAGGCTCTTCGGGCTCAGAACGACCCAGAAACCTTAACCCTAAACCCTAAACCCTAAACCCTAAACCCTAAACCCTAAACCCTAAACCCTAAAGCCTAAAGCCTAAAGCTTCTTTCCGTTGAGAGGGTTTGTTGAAGGACTCTTTGAGTTCGGCCCGGGAGAGGTCCGTGAGCTCCCTGACAATCCAGGGTCGCAAAACCTTGGACCTTGTGACAACTTGGTTTAGGGTTTAGGGTTTAGGGTTTAGGGTCTATAACAACAAGATCATGGTAGAACTTGATATAGCATAGTATAGCATAACATGACATATACTATAACATAAAATGACCTCATGTATGACAATACAAAGCAACTGTGCACACAACCCAGCAGAATGTAGCATGGCATAACATGATGAACATCATATAGCAAACACAGAACAACTGTGCGCCCAACACCATGACGTAGCCTAATATAGCATGATGTAACATATCGTAATGTAACATAATAGAACGCAACAACATGATGTCATACAATGTCGTAATGAAACATGCCATACCGTAGTAAAAGCCATCTTTCATCATGGGTTTCCCTTCCACCCCATACTACCCCCCCTAGATTCCCCCCTTAAATGAGCTTGATTAGGCTTAAGTGTCCCTAAATAGGCTTAATTATGGGGGGGCAAGGTAGTCGAGAGGGGGGGAGCAAGGGAACCCATGACTCTAACCCTAAAACCCAAACCCCAAACCCCAAACCCCAAACCCTAAACCCTAAACCCTCAACCCTAAACCCTAAACCCTAAACCCTAAAACCCTAAAACCCTAAACCCTCCCCATCAGGTGGTGTCCGCAGTGCTCGCTGCCAGACCTTCCCGCCTGGGTGAATGCCACCGGCTGGAGGATTGGCTCGCTACTCAAAGCGTGGCGGGCTCAGGATGTTGCCCTTCGGGTTTAGGTTTTAGGGTTTAGGAATTAGGGTTTAAGGCTCAGGATGTTGTTTTTAGGGTTTAGGGTTTAGGGTTAAGGGCTGAACATCCTTAAGGCCTAAGCCCGAAGGCCTAGATCGGATCCTCATGGTCCAGCAGCCCCTCTTAGGGTTGTTCGAGCTTAGGGTCCCCTTGTAGCCAACTTGGATGGGCGGCCTTCTTGTTTGAAAAGCCGCTCAACGTGTGTAATAGGATATTTTTTGCAGCTCGCACCGTCTTGGGATTCTAGCGCAGAGCCACCCTACACCCTACACCCTAAACCCTAAACCCCAAACCCCAAACCGCAAACCCTAAACCCTAACAATCCCCAAGCCCTAAGCCCTGAGCCCCTTGCAGCTGCCAAGGCAGCAGCTCACCTGCGCCAATTTCTATGTTCGGCTCCTGGGCCTGAACAGCACGGTGGCTTGGCAGCCAAGAGAGGGTGGTTTAGGGTTTAGGGTTTAGGGTTTAGGATTAAGGGGTTTAGGGTTTAGGGGTTTAGGGGTTTAGGGGTTTAGGGTTTAGGGTTTAGGGTTTAGGAATGTTTAGAATGCAATAATCGCCACACCAACAGCAAAAACACTAAGATATCATCATGGTGCGAACGGTTTGAATGTTTTGCTATTTTGCACTTCCTTGTAGGCCCGCCTGTCTGACTACTGGACAGCGGCGATGCAAGTGCAAGTGCTGCACTGAGGAGTTTCTCCAGCTCATCCATGATGGGGCGGCCAAAGGGGGCGTCCCCTTTCAGGCTTCGCGGATCAAGAAAAGGCCATGCCGACTTTGTATGGAGTCCAACATGGATCCTGGGCATGTGAGCAGTCGCCACAAGTATGATCAGTCATGAGGCAGCCCTAAACCCTAAACCCTAAACCCTATATAAACCCTAAACCCTAAACCCTAGACTCTCGGGCAAACCTCGCGCGCTCGTCAACCAAGGAGATTCTGCAGCGTGCAGCGGCGTCTCCCCTGCTGGTAGCAGAGTACGGCTCCTTCTGGCCGGACTGGGTGGATTGTTTGCAAGTTGGCACAGCGCAGCTATGTATGTATACATATATGTATATATATATATGCATACATACATGGTATATATGTAGATATATACAGCCACACGCCTTTTTCATGTAGTACTGTTTTCGAGGATCCAGGTAGCGCTCCTGGCAGGACACCCCAGCCAAGCAAGTTCTCGCACGTGGCGCAACCGTGTGGGCCTGAAATGAAACGTCAAGAAGTGATGTCACGCGCAGGAGGGTCTCCGGGGTTTAGGGTTGATGCCAGACTTGTTTTTCGAGGTTGCCTACCTCCATGGGGACGTCTTGGCACGAATGCGTATGTCAAGCCTGCATGAGAAGGCAGGATTCCGGGAATTGCAGGCTCTCTATCAACCAGCACAAAGCGAGAGAAGGAAAGGAAGAGAGTGACATGTATGCGACTTGAGTATAAGGAAACATTGGTAGCTTATCTCTTCAAAAATATGTGTGCTGTGCAAGGGATCTCAGTTGACAGAGCAGCCAGAGCAGGCGAGCGAAGCCGGGTTGGATCCTGGCAGAGACCTTGATACGCGGAACGACGTGGCATTCAGCCTTCTGAGCTGCAAGGAGATCCTAAACCCTGTTTAAGCCTATACCCTTCGAAACCCTACAAAACCTCACCCTACAATATATGCATATCTATATATATATATATGTATGTATATATATATATGTATACATACATATATATATATATATATATTTTTTTTTTTGTATTCTCCACTGTGTTAGGGATGACATAGCCCGCAAATTCGTGCTACGTGCTTGCGCACTGCGTCAATGGCGCCGCAGGACGGGGTTATCCACCGCGGAAAGTGTATCGACCACAGAAGCTCGGCAACTTCAGTTGTCCAATCGCATCAGCCCTGGCAGTATGATGAGAAGCAAGTGTTTGTTGTGAGGAGACAAGTCTCCGGGACTTCCGCTAGTACAAAGTGACACCGAGACATGGCTGCAATAGGCCTTTTGCCGGTGAGCGCGTTGCTTCTCAGACTTGTCAGGTCAGGAGTCATATCATCAGCTAGCCAGAGTGGCTGGAGTCGACATTGAAGTATGCTTGCTTCATTCTCCTTGCTGTTTAGCAGCAGGATTGCTGGCCTGAAGACCATCCCGGATGACGGCAGCCGGATGGATCTTGCTGACATCAGCGACTCCCCAGCGGTTCATACCATGGGCACACTTTGCCCAACGACGAGCTCCCAATGGCTCCCGCATGGTGGACGAGCTGCGGACAGAGCTTGCGGCACAATCTGGCTGCAGGTGAAGCCAGCAGTCCGAGGAGGAGCCAAGGAGGTACTGTGAGCGGGTCCAATCGGATATCCCGTCGGAACCCGGAGATCCTCCCCACATCGAGTTTGCGCCACAAGACCGCTGCGGGCACTGCAAGAAGAGCGCGAAAAATCATGGCAGTTCCTGGCTTCCTGCTTGGGACATCCTGTGGCGCAGAGAGACGGCAGTGCGCACTGCAAAAAGCCAGTGAAATTCATGTGCAAGGTGCCAACCTTTTCAACGACTTCAGCTGGGGGGGCCCAGTCCTGCGATCTGTTGCAGCAGTTGCGAACACGTTAACCTTGCAGGTCTTGTGCATGGTTGGTATCAGAATGGTACATGTTTGGGGAGGTTCCCCCTTGTGCTGACAGTCCTTAATCGATTATAGTACCCCCCCCTATTATAATCCCCATAAAGGACTGTTAGTATAAGGGGAACATCCCAGTACAGGTTTATGTAGTCAGTCTATTTTGACTACCTGTCCTCCCGCAGGTAGTTGTCTAAATCGGTTCCCTTTTGGGGTATTAATTGTAAGGGTGCCCCACTGTAAAATATATCGGGGGTTCCAACAAGGGACCCTAATTTAGAGATAAACCCGAAACCCGAAACCCCAAACCCTAAACCCCGAACCCCGAACCCTAAACCCTAAACCCTAAACCCTAAACCCTAAACCCTAAACCCTAAACCCTAAACCCGTGAGCTGTCTTCGTATTCTTATGGCTGCTCTTCACTGGAGGCCCCCAGGCTGCCATGATGAACCTCATGCAGAGCATTGGCCTCAGCATCCGCTGCTTCGGAGATCGTCTCTGAAAGGGTTTAGGGTTTAGGGTTTAGGGTTTAGGGTTTAGGGTTCTGTTCTTGGTGAGTGTATATAAGGTTCCTTTCCAATGTTGGTGAGTGTATATATGGGGTGTCCTTTTGGGGGTACAAGAAACATAAACCCTGCTCCATATGCTTTCATTGTTCTGCCTCCGTTGCGCAGCAATTTTTCAAATGCCTCGATACCACATTGGCCATTCTCTGCGGACTTCCTCCCTCGTCTCTGATGGACATCGACTTCGATGTAGCAGAGATGAGCAGGTCGGGCCGCACTTCATGCCATGCATCTAGATAAACTATACGCAAATAGTTATGTATGTACAGCAAAACCATACTTGTGTCAGTTTCAAAGCTTTGCTGCAAGATGCTTCTCAGAATCCTGGTGTTGCTGGTGCCCTGTGAGGTGGGTAGTAGGTGACGTGGATGACGATGAGGTCGACCAGCATGCAGCCGGTGAATCGGCGCCTTGGCACTGGGGGGTTAGGGTTTAGGGTTTAGGGTTTAGGGTTTAGGATTTAGGGTCTAGGGTTGATTGCATGTTCCGAGAAGAGGGGAACATCGACACCCGTAACATGCCTTCCCTAGGCCCCATCCCAATTCCAAATTGCAGGCCCAACCTTTTGGTCTCTCTTTAAGAGAGCCCCAAGAAGCCGAAGTCAGCAGAGGAAGCCATCTACGAAGTATACAAGCCCTTGGCGGAGTTGGAAGAACGCCTCTCGGCGAGTTGTCGGGGAGAGAGGGGGGAGATTGAGGGGTTGCGGGAGAGCTGGGGATTTGGACAGGAGTTCCTTGTGTAGACGGGGTGACTTGCCTGTCTACGGGTGCCGGGCCTCGAGTTGTTGATCTGAATCTCACTCCGCAGAAGGACCAGAGCCCATTTGGGATCGGGGTTTAGGGCTTAGGGTTTAGGGTTTAGGATTTAGGGTTTAGGGTTTAGGGTTTGTGGGTGTTGGGCTTCGGGGTCTTCAGCTGTGGAGCTCCCAAAACCAGCCAAAAGCATCCTCGCCAGGTTTGCAAGGCGGCTCCAGCACGGACCTCGCGAGCCGCCTCAGCGAGGCTTCCTTGCCCCGACATGTCGGAAGCCAAGTGTGTTTAGAGCTTAGGGTTCCCGGGTTTAGGGTTTAGGGTTTAGGGTTTAGGGTTTCGGGTTTCGGGTTTAGGGTTTAGGGTTTAGGGAGTGTGTTTAGAGAGGGTTTGGGGTATTTGGGGCAGCCGAGAATCCTGATGCTCTCTGAGCTCTGGCAAACAAGAGCCCCCAGATGCCCCGATAGTGAGCCGCTCCCCATTTTGCTGGCTTGGGTACATCGTTCAGGGGCATCAGAATACCATGGAATCCGTGCAGGCTCAGGTCTGAGTCTACGTTTGGGCTTTAAGTTTCGGGTCTTCAGGCTTTAGGGCTTCGGGCTTCGGGAAAAGGGAGAAGAATATGGGGTACACTCTGAGATGCTCCGCGCCAGGCGCTCGCGACCCGGAGTAACCTGCAGCGGAAGGTGGAGAAAGCCTCCTGCCAGCAGGGCCGCGGATTGGAGTTGCTTTTGGGAGAGCTGGGGGCACTTTCCGCGGAAATCCGCAGAAGTCTACAGAACTCGCTAAACTGCTAAAAAAGGAGTCCAAGTGCTGTTGAACGAGATGCAAGTTCCAGGCCACGTGCAATACATCTTCTAACCTCAAATCACCTTGGCTCCGTTATTATTAGTATAAGGACACCAATAAGGTACCCCTGATTTCGGAAACCCCAAATCACCCTGGCCCAGGCTTTAGAAGGTCTCTGCGTGGTCGGGCGCTTCGTCGTTCAGAGCTCGACCGAAACCTCCGACTCTCGGCCAGCCTTTTAGAAGCCCGGAGCCCTAAATTTAGGGTTTAGGGTTTAGGGTTTAGGGTTTAGGGTTTAGGGCACCCACCCAAATGAAGGTTCCGAACTTACCCCTAAATTTCGGGTTCCAAGTGTGGGCCCTTAGTTTGGGTCCCTGGCTAATATAACCCTTATATACATGATACATAGTAAGGGCCCATACGGGTATGAACTTACCCTAAACCCTTCAAACCGTAACCCCCTGGACTACCCTAAGCCCTAAACCCTAAATCCTAAACCCTAAACCCTAAAGCCTAAACCCTAAACCTAAACCCTGTACCCTAAACCCTGATCCCTAAACCCTCCCCCTAGACCCGAAACCCGAAGCCCTAAACCCGAAACCCGAAAACCCTGAACCCTAGACCCTAAGCCCTAAGCCCTAACAGCTTGGTTCTTTGCTGACGTGGCCGAAGCCGCGGAGACGAGGAGCGAGTGGCCCGAGCCCACCTGGTCGTCGAGAGGGGTCCGCAGCTGCTGCTGAACCGCGTGGTGCTGCTTCGGCGTTGGAGAGTTCGAGGGTTTAGGGTTTAGGGTTCATATAGGGCTTTGGGTTTGGGGTTTAGGGTTTAGGGCTTAGGGTTAAGGAAGCAGGGCCCCTCGTTTCAAGCACTCTCGACATGCTTTCATGATGTTTCATGAACAGCCTCAGCAAGATCCCATGTTGCTGGGCTTTTCCCAAGCGGAGGCTCTGCGTCCTTGTTGATGTTTGGTTGCCATTTTCAGATGTGCCTTAACACACCTTGTGTGATCTGTGCCCCCACTGCCCAACATGGACCGAGATTGTTGTGGGCACTCATTCCGGGGGGCTGGCAGATGCTCCCCGAGCTGGCTACAATAGTGAGCGTGCCCCCTGTCCCAGGTCAGAGTCTACACTTTGCAAAATCGGAACCGTGCTCGCCAAGGAGGGAAGCGCGGGTTGTCAAGAAGCACCGGCACAGGTCAGCAGAGTCCGCGTCCATGTTTGACTGTTTTCCTGCCGTGGAGCTACGTGCGACATAGCTTCGCGAGCTTTTTCTCGGGGAGAGTTTTCTCGGCCTTGCTACCCAAATTCGGTACTTTTTCAGGTAACTTCCAGAGGGCTTCTCCATCGCTCCTGGCATGAAACGCTTGTACTCAATGCTGATTCACTCACACTCCTTGCAGGAATCAGAAATTGATGGCATACGGATCTAGGCCGATTACTTCCGCAAACGTTGTGAGCATGGACCCAAGGAAAAAACTCACAGGCGCCACAGGAGACAGGAAAAGGCACGAAAGCAAAGGCGCACAGGACCAAGAGTCGAGACAAAAACAATGAAGCCCCAAGCGAATGAATGGGATCGGCGCGCGAGTCCACTGCATCTGCCCCCCGCCACCTTTGGAAGAACGACAAGCTAAAGAACCCGAATTAGAATCCAAAGAGCCCACCTGTGCCCATCTTGAGTGGTTTCGTGGGTTAGCCTTCACACTTGGTGCGCGCATCATGCCAGCATGGCACACAGCTAAGCTGCTGCTTGGACACGGCGTCTGCAGGAGATGAAGTCTGGGTGGAGTTGCGACACTGCGTCCTCGACAGCGCGGTGATGGCCCTTAGAAGTGGCAGCCAGTTTCCCGGCTGAGTCGGCCTTCCGGCCCTTCAATTATAAATGCAATGTAATCAGGCCATAAACCCTAAACCCTAAACCCTGTAACCCTAAACCCTATCAACCTAAAACCTAGACCCCTGCAACAGCTTTAGTTCCCCCCAGGCCGCGACAAATCGTTTAGGGGATGCAGAGGGGCTCCGCCCCATCACTGCTTTTTGGCGAGAGGAATCCTGGTGAAAACTAGGAGGTGGGTTTAAGGTCTAGGGTCTAGGGTTTAGGGTTAAGGGTTCAGGGTTTAGGGTTTAGGGTTTAGGGCCGCTGCCAAGGACGCCGGAGCAGCTGCTGGGCTACTGCTGCCTGTTCGGCCGTGTTCTTCGCGCCGAGCGGGCCTTGGACTCCGCGATGCATTACTCTTTGTGAATCTCTGAGGGTTTAGGGTTTAGGGTTTAGGGTTTAGGGTTTAGGGTTCCCCACCTCCCCCCCACATCACCCTCTTGGAGGTTCATGGGAAGTTAGAAGTAGGGTTATACGTACCCTAAATAGGGTGCCATAGCTAGCCATAGTTATAATCCGACTTCTAATGACCCATGAACCTCCAAGCTCCCCTTACCCACCTCCACCTCTCCCACCTCCGCCTCGGTCCCCAGCGTTTTTGGGGCCGGGCGATTTGATGCTCCGGGTGGGGGGGGGAGGGGGCTGGGTACTGGAATCGCGGTGTCTGCTTAAGGTTCCAAGCTTTTCTTTTGCTCACCTCTGCGTTCTTGTGTGCTGCTGAGGAGCAGGTGCCGGCACGCACAGACTATTTGTGCAAGCAATCGCAGATTCAGTGGCAGTGGCTTGTCCGAACATCATATCGAATGTTCTTGGCCGAAGTTTGAGGCATCTGCCAACGTTGTTCTCCGAGTTGGTGGTTTTAGGGGTTGAGGGTTTCGGGCTTAGGCTTCAGGCACGTAAAGCCTGCACACACAGCCCCGGCGGGTCTTTTGTGTTGTTTTCAGCAGTCAATGTGCCGACGTGAGCGACAAAATCAGGCGTGGGCGGCTCGTCTTCATCCCCTTCTCTCAAGAGGTGCCGGTTCTCCAGGCCGCTTGTACGGTTTCGGTTCTCGGGGTTTAGGGTCGAAAAGGGTCCCCTGTAAGGGCCCATACGAACTACACTAAGACCCGAATTGCGGTGTAGCTTTTCGAGGTTTAAGGTCGAGGGTTCAGGTTTCAGGGATTAGGGATTGAAGTACAAGGTGTTGATTGAGGTTGGCTTCTCGTTCGAGGGCATGTTCCAAGCAGCCAGGCTTTGCTTCCTGGAAGTTGTACCTGTAGACAACCCTGAATCCCTAAACTTCCGGAGGTGACCCGGGGGGAGCAAGAGTTTCCGCGAATCTGTCTTTGCAAGCAGGTCGAAACTGACAGCCAGCAGCAACTTCCACTGGACCGAGTTTTTCGTTTAAGGATTGCACCTTGGCGCCACTTTCGAGTGAGGAGTGACCCCCAAACCCTGAATCCTAAGCCTAGGCCAGCTTGGTTTCAGAATCTAGAGCAAACTTGCCCGTTGCACGGCACAGGGTTGCAAAGGTCCCGAAAGTTTGGCACGAGGTCGACTGGCCAGTGACGTCTCTGCGGCCGAAAGCACAGAGCCTTGGAACTGCCGAGTGTAACATGCACTGCTTGGGACGTTCCCCGTGATACTAACAGTCCTTAGTAGGTTGTATGATAGGGGGTGCCATAATCCCTACTAAGGACTGTTCGTGTAAGGGAGAACAGCCGAATGCGGTGCAGTCAAGAATGCCCGGCTGCCATGGACTGCTGAGCTGTGCTGAGGATTGTGGACTCCTTCCGACATCCTGGGGGTTGCAGGGATAGCCCGGAGAGCATCGTGAGGCTCTTCTGCCAGGACCCGGTTGCTGCTTTGCTGCTCGCAGTGGCGTTCGGATGGTTGGCACCGAACAGTGTGAGGACCTGGAGCATGCGCTGCCGGAGAAGGTGGGGACAATTGCGTTGAGTAGCGGCTTGCCTGTAGCTGCTCCCAACCCTAAACCCCAAACCCTGCCGCCCAAAAAACTGTGAACCCTCTGAGCCTTACGCCCTCTAACCGTCATAAACTCCAAGGCCCTCAAGTCTTCTAAGTCCAAATAAGTTGTGTGGGTCACCAATATCGGCCTTGGGCCTTTCTAGGAGAACACAGAAAGCCCGTATAAACAAAAACAAGTGTATATATATATATATGTTTATATAATATGTTTATATGTATATATGTATATATGTATATATGTATATATGTATATATGTATATATGTATATATGTATATATGTATATATATATATATATTATACACATATCTGTCAAAGGACCAATTTTAGGGCCCAGATCCCGAGGTCCAGACCCCAAACCCCAGAAGCCGCCCGAACCCTTTTTGTCCAGCGTGCCTGCCAGCCTGCCGCCGCAGCATCGCGCCCGCCCCGCAGCGTCCAGGAGACCTTGGGGAGAGGGAAGTAGGATTTCGACTGGGTTTAGGGTTTAGGGTTTAGGGTTTAGGGTTTAGGGTTTAGGGTGGCTATCTCGACCATCCCACTCATGGATGGCACAAGAGGCAACGCCCAATGGTGCCATGAAGCTGGGGGGTGACCTGACTGTGACAGGAGGAGCGGCGAGACCTTTCAAATTCAGAAGTCTTCTCTATAGGCCCGTTGGTTCTCAACTGCACGCCCTGCATCTGGATGCCAGAGTTGAGAGTGCTTTGCCTTTCCCTGAGCAGATTCAGCGGGGGCAGATATGATAGATGATGCGCTCGAATTCGATGAGCAGCAGGGAGTTCCTTGGTGCAGACTGCGCAGATCGTGTGATGAGAGCTGAGTAGGGCAGGGCAGGCGGAGTATTGTGAGACCAGGTAGTCCGAGTGCACATTGCGGATGTGGCGGCCTTTGTGAAGTCTGGCAGTCCGGTGGACAGAGAGGCTGCTTACATGGGTTGCAGCTTGGCATGACTCATGGGGGTTCTAGAGAACCAGAATTCCTTTACGGTCCTTTTTGGGGGGTGTTTTTACCGGGATTCTACAGATGGAATAGGGACCCTCGTTGTTTCGGAGTCCCATCAGTTTTGGTTAGGAATCAAGGGGAGTGTGTTGGACACAGTGAAGGCAGCATCTACCTCCGCAATCATTGTGACACAGTTCAGCTTCTTGGAAGAAACTGTCAGCCTAGCCATTTTTTTTCGTGGGTAGCAAGCAGGTCGTGACAAAAGTTCGGGCGTGGACCCTCGTGCAGCGAAGATCTTAGCAGGAATTCGCTGTTTTTTGAGTGGAAGTCCTAAACCCTAAGCCCTGCACCCCAAACCCTAAACCCTAAACCCTAAACCCTAAACCCTAAACCCTAAACCCTAAACCCCAAACCCTGAAAACCCTGAAAACCCGAGGTGGTGCCGACCGATGCTGCCCGAGAACATCACGGAAGCGGCCTGCCTGGCCAAGGGCCAGAGGCGCCCTAAACCCTAAACCCTAAACCCTAAACCCTAAACCCTAAACCCTGAACCCTGAACCCTAAACCCTAAACCCTAAACCCTAAACCCTGAACCCTGAACCCTGAAACCCTGAACCCTGAACCCTGAACCCTGAAACCCTGAACCCTGAACCCTGAACCCTGAACCCTAAACCCTAAACCCTAAACCCTAAACCCTAAACCCTACACTCTAAACCCTAAACCCTAAAACCCTAAAACCCTAAACCCAGAGGCGCCCAGCGCTGACCTTCGAGTTCAAGATGAACCGAGGCCACGGGGTTTAGGGGTTTAGGGGTTCAGGGTTTAGGGTTTAGGGTTCAGGGTTTAGGGTTCAGGGTTTAGGGTTCAGGGTTTAAGGCTTAGGGTTTAGGGTTCAGGGTTTAGGGTTTCGGGTTTAGGGTTTAGGGTTTTCCAAAGGGATCAAGATGAACCGAGGCAGGGCCTCCTGTTTCCCAAAGGGTCCCTCTGGGCATTTCCCAAAACAGGGGGTACCCTTTTTATTCCATTTAAGAATAGAATCCCCTGAAAGGGACCCCCTTTTCAAAAGGGCACCCCTATTTTCGGAAGCCATATACAGCAGAAACTTGGGCTTTGCGCTCCTATGTAGTAGCTTTAGGGCCCAACTATGTATTACATAGGGACATGGACCCTGAGGGTTTGCGAGAGGAGAGAGAAGTGGGGTTTACGACAATAAGGGACTCATAATGAACCCCAATAAGGGATCCCCCTAGTATCGTAAAGCCCCCAAGTAGAGAGCACCAAGAGAGAGGTCGGGAGCACCAAGAGCATCCCGTCAAGCGCCCGTACTTGGGCGTTTGTGAGGCAGATGGCGGGCTGGCGAGGTAAGCTTCCAGCAGTTCTTCCGCTCCACCGTGCAGCTTCGAGAGGCCATGTCCTTCGAGGAGGCAGCGCAGGTCCTCCGGGAGGATGCGGCGCCCGGAGGACCTGGAGCTCCGTTTTCTGCTCACAGGGCGTAAGAACTTCGGCGGAACCCGGTGCTTCCACGTGCTGCGTGCAGGAGTCCGTGGGGCCATGCAAGCGCTGTGGGATGTGACCAAGAAAGCCATGACGCAACGCCTGCAGACAGACGAGGCGCAACCGGCAGATGCCGCAGAGTCCCAAACTGAGTCCTGATCACGAGACCAATCGGTGAGGCCTACGCCCTGAGATGCCCGTGGCTGCAGGACACCGGCGAGGCAGATTGCCTGCCAGTTTTGCCGTCGGGTGTTGCTGCAAAAAGCCGAGCCCCTGCATGCCTCAAAAGAGGCATCGAATGCGCGCCGGCTGGTGGAGTTTTGGATGACGCAGGCCCATTGCACGAGTTGAGACCTGTTGCACCAGCCTGGATAGCTGGTTTACCTGAATCTGATAATGCACCGGCTTCATGAACGGTGCCCTTCTTCACGGAATCCAAGACATCGCCAGTTTTGTCGTGTCTTGTTCCTGCCATCATGCAGTTCATCGCTTTTTGGGTTCGAAGTGCAGATGCAAGTGGGGTGCGGAGATGTTGACGGTGAGATGGCAAGCTTCTCCTGCAGCAGGTGAACGAGTGCAGCGGCCGCTTGATTTCTGCACGTCGCACGAGACTCGGCAGCTTCATAGGTGATAGAGGCTCCAGTTGTTTCATGTCAGCTCCCGAATTTTCAGTTTCTGATGTAATTCAAGGGTATCGCCGTCTGACCGAGAGTCAGGCACCGAAGGGAAGACGAATTCAACAACCGGCAGCAGCATCACTGGATTGCCTGAGAGTTTGAGGCCCAGAGCCTGCCACATTTTTTGAAGCCCTCCCCCCCCCTCTAAACCCTAAGCCCTAAGCCCTAAACCCTAAACCCTAAGCCCTAAGCCCTAAACCCTAAGCCCTAAACCCTAAACCCTAAGCCCTAAACCCTAAACCCTAAGCCCTAAACCCTAAACCCTAAGGAGCCCCCACATTTCCCCCTGGATCTTTAAAAACTGAATGATGTCCATGTACATGTACCCACATAGTATATACTTGGGCCCTAAAGCTACTAAATGGGAACCCCATTAAGCCCCAAGTATATCCTACATAGGTACATGTACTAGATGCCTGTGTACTGGCAACTGTTAAAGTTCTAAGACCCTTATCCAAAACGGCCGCCGACAAGATCCCAGGAGTGTCCTGCAGTGCCTTCACTGCTTTCCATGCCCAGCCCCTCGCCTCGAAAGTGCGGACGCGGACTTAGGGTCTTTCTTGGTTTAGCTGGTGGGGTTGAGGGTTTGGGGTTTAAGGTTTACTTAAAGGTTCATGGTACGTAGTAGGTAATTATAACTGTACTTTTAACCCACTTATAAGCCCCTTAAGTGCCCTAATGTAGGGCTTAGAGTTTGGGGTTCGGGTTTGAGGGGGTTTAGGGGTTGAGGGTCATCTGGGCGGGTGTAGTGTTCAGCTCCCCGACCAAGGATGGCAACCACTTCTCCAGGCCGAAACTCAGTTGCCTAGCCTGATGATCAGTGATACTGTAGTTGATTCTAGAGCCGTGGTCTCTGCAACCTTTCGGATTGATTACAGTTCGTTCTGCCTCAGGAGCATGGTGGCTGTCCGCACTTAGGTCTGCTGAAGTCTTGGCATGGAATGGGTCAGCCTGATCTCAACCCTAAACCCTAAACCCTAAAGCCTAAACCCTAAACCCTAAACCCTGAACCCTGAACCCTAAACCCTAAACCCTAAACCCTAAACCCTAAACCCTGAACCCTGAACCCTGAACCCTGAAACCCTAAACCCTAAGCGAATATTCTTGGCAGGCTCTCGATGCTCTGTCGGGATGCCACCTTCCGAGCTCTTCAGAGAGAGGGACATGAGGCTTGGAAGGCAGGTAGGGGGTTTAGGGTTTAGGGTTTAGGGTTTAGGGTTTAGGGTGGCTTTGTACATGCCACCCTTGTTCGGAGAATGAGCAGTACGATGAGTATGTGCCTTTTTAAGACGGGCGTCAGCAAGAGCAGGGGCGACAAACTAAGGAAAGCCTCATCACCAAGCTTCACGAGTCTGCAAACAGTTGCCAAGAGAGCGTGGCTGGGGTCCTGAACCACGCGCTACGGCTTGCTGCATCTCCGACTGGTGCGGCCAGCGAGATCCCCAGAACTTCTCTGCTGATGATAATTAGCCCCTTCGGGCCAGACATTCGACGGTGCGTGCGTTCTACAAGTTTCTTTGGAGGTGGTCGGTCCGGTACCACTGTATGTCCAAGCAAAGTTCTTTTCATGTCGAGCATCTCTTGTATTCTCAAGGAAGGCTGATTCTCCAATGCATTACTCGAGGTGCCGTGTGGCCGTGTAGTTGAGATTCATTGTGCCTTGCACTTGGGTGCTTCCTTGGTAACGCTGTCCAAGGCTGGAGCACCGACAGCGGCGTGCCTGCACTTTTAGGGTTTAGGGTTGAGGGTTGAGGGTTTAGGGTTTGGTCCATGTTGCTGTTCAGGATGCCTGACATCCTTGAGTCCTTGAACACCTGCGATGCTTAAGCATATCCGACTTCTCTCGGGGGCACACTTGAGGCAGCCAGCACATCTTCGGAACCGAGCAATGTCAGGCTGGGAGTTGCTCCGATTGGTTCCAAAGAGCATTGAAACATGGCCCCGTGTAGTGCTTATGGCGCCTTTCAACCACATAAAGCCGCGCAGAGAACATGAAGGGCACTGACACCTTTTTCATGCTTTTTGGGCTTGCGGTCTTGTGACATGTTCTAGTCGTACTTCCAATGTAGGGTAGGTGAGTTTTGTGGACGAAGATCCTCTGACACCTGTGAGGCAGCAGCTGTCTTTCGACATCAGCTCAGTCAGTGTGTCTCCAGGCTTGCACATGCAGAGTGGGTGTGCCCTAAGCCCTAAGCCCTAACCCCACTTCCAAAACCCCGAACCCTGATTACTGAATCCGAGACCTTAGAGCTTAAGCCCAAAAGCCGCCCGGCTTCGGAAATCCAAGGTTCCGCCAGCCTACTATCTGACGATGGACGGGGCCACGCCACCGATGCAGTGGCCGCTTCTGCAAAGCTGCGAGTACTTTCAGGCCCGACTGGCAAGCAGGAGCTGGCAAGATAAGCCCTTCTAAACCCTACAAGGGGACCCTTATGAACCCTAAACCCTAAACCCTAAACCCTAAACCCTAAACCCTAAAACCTAAACCCTAAACCCTAAACCCTAAACCCTAAACCCTACACCCTAAAACCTAAACCCTAAACCCTAAACCCTAAACCCTAACAATCTTTTCTGAGGGCTTGCATCCCCCTTATGGCAAGGTGACGTCACCCCTGCGGCGCTGGATTGACCTGCTTGGGCAGCACCTGCAACTCGACGGCGCCGGGATTAAGGGGTTTTGGGGGGGCTTTAAGGGGTTTAGGGTTTAGGGGTTTTGGGGGGTTTTAAGGGGGTTTAGGGTTTAGGGTTTGCAGGGGTTTCAGGGTTTAGGAGTTCGGGATCAGGACTTCCGCGCCCTTATCCTTTCTCAATCCAATGCCTCCAGGAAAGACCCGCCTTGCATCCCCTCAGTGCAAGGCCACCCCATGTCCTAAACCCCAAACCCCAAACCCCAAACCCTAAACCCTAAACCCTAAACCCTAAACCCCAAACCCTAAACCCCAACCCCTAAACCCCTAAACCCTACACCCTCCGAACCGAACTCCATACTACGACTGGCCTCCAGCATCCTCGACTTCTCCTGGGTCACGCGACATACTCAGGACTTTGGGGCTGCTACCCTAAGCACCCATTTCATGCAGGGCTTATGCCTCAAATGCCGGTTACATTGGGGTGCGACATGATGGCCTACTAGTTTGTTGGGACCTGTGAACCCTAAACCCTAGTCGCAACTCCAAAAGTACTTCACAAATCCTTCCCGAAACTTTTTTTAATACCCTGGACAGTAAAACACAAAACCTTGAAAAAGCCCATACAAAACCATCCCCGACAGTGAGCCCGCCGGGTAAGCCACCCTGAACCCTGAACCCTGAACCCTGAACCCTGAACCCTGAACCCTAAACCCTGAACCCTAAACCCTAAACCCTAAACCCAGGCTTGTGGGATCCTTCAAGCTGAACTTTGATGCCCTGCGCCGCGCTTGTGGCTGCAGAGCGGGGTGTTGCGGTCTAGGGCTTGTGGTAGGGCAGTAGGTGTGTCGGTTTAGGGGGGTCCAGGGAGTCGAGCGAAGTTAGCTAGATGTGGAGAAAGCGGTGGAGCTTTGGAGCTCAACCTAGCGGGGCTCCTTAAGGGGCTTATCAGTGGGTTATAAGTACCTGTCAGAAGTGCCAAGGCAACGTCCATCGCTACAACGAAATGCACTCCTTCGCAAAACAGGTGTGCAGCTTGGCAGCGATTGGGAACGAGCGGGGAGGGAGGGCCCGCCCTTAATTACCACAAGGGACCTCTGTCACTAAGTTCTACGCCCGAAGCCCTAAGCCCTAAACCCTGAACCCTAAGCCCTAAACCCTAATCCCTTACGACAAGGAACCTGTGTCCTAGGTTATAGTACTTAGAAGGAAGTCAGCGCAGGGCCTCCATGAACTTCCGGTACCGGGGCGGTGGGGTGTAGGGTTCGGGTTTCAGGGTCTTGGGTATTGGGTCATTGGGTTTTTTTTGGCACGGTGTTATTGGGGTAGCAGGCCTTCTCAGCACTAGCAGGTCTCAAGGGTCCTAGTTGTGGCTTGAGTCTTCAGGTTCCCGATACGCCTTCCTAACGTTCTGCACGGACCTGCTCAAGTCCGAGCGCAAGATGAACTGTGTCTTGGTCATAGTTGGGTAACATTTTACATTTTTAAGGTTACTTGAACCCATTAAGGAATAGAAATTGGAGTTTTTAATTCGGTCCCAACCATGAACTAGGTGTTGTGAGCCGGGTGGACCAGGGCTCGATCCAGTTGGCGTGCCCAGTCGCTTGGTCCAAGGGCCCTGAACCCTGAACCCTAAACCCGAAACCCTAAACCCTAAACCCTCAACCGTCAACCCTGAACCCTGAACCCAAAACCCCGGCCGATGGAGTAAGCATGCACATGGCGGTCTTGATCAACTTGTATTAGCGCGTCTTGGTGCGTAGGAGAAATGAGCCTAGGAAATGGTGGGCTTCTTTCGAAGCATTCATATACCACTGGGGCTGCTGGCAAGCCATGATGTTGCTGTACGCCCCGTGGTGGAGGAGAAGAAGGCAGACACCTTAGCCTTGAAGCCTGCGACCCTAAATCCCTCAACCCTGAACCCGAAAGCCCGAGTCACGCATAACTCAACCCTCCAGAATAAACCCTAAACCCTAAACCCTAAACCCTAAACCCTAAACCCTAAACCCTAAACCCTAAACCCTAAACCCTAAACCCTAAACCCTACGTTTAAAACAAGAAGGCTTGAGGACCGAAGACACTGAATGCCCCCGTCAGGCACTTCTTTGCAATGTGGAGGATGGGCAAAGTGTGGAGTGCCTTTGTCCAAGGAGTGGAAAACCCATGGATCCAGAAGTTAAAAAAATTAAATCCTGATTTAATTGTTGTGTTTGGGTTGGGTTTTGACCTACCTCGACATACCTTCTCCCTACAAAAACACAACCAAGGAGTGCATGGATTTACGCACGAGGATTCTAGGGTTTGGGGGCTTTCGGGTTTGAAGGGTTTCAGGGTTTCAGGGCTTTGGCTGCGGTTTCTTGGCTGGGGTTCTGGGGTGTGGGGTTGTCAGGAGACCCGATCCCAAAACCCAAAGCCCTAAACCCTAAACCCTAAACCCTAAACCCTAAACCCCAAAAAACCTAAACCCTAAACCCCAAAAGCCCTAAACCCTAAACCCCAAAAAGCCCTAAACCCTAAACCCCAAAAAGCCCTAAACCCTAAACCCCAAAAAGCCCTAAACCCCAAACCCTAAGCCCCAAGCCCTAAATCCCCAAACCGTCTTGCTGGCTTGCTCAAGGATCTGCCCGTTCAAGACAAAGATGGTGGCGCAGCTGGCGCTGGACGTCTCCAGCCCGGCACCTTGACTCTGGTTTGGGGTTTAGGCTTTAGGGTTCAGGGTTTAGGGTTCAGGGTTTAGGGTTTAGGGTTTAGGGTTTAGGGTTTTGGGTTTAGGGTTTAGGGTTTAGGGTTTTGGGTTTAGGGTTTGGGGTTTCAGGGCTCAAGAGATGGCGAAGTGTAAGGTTCAGCAGGTTTAGAGTTTAAGGCTTCGGGGTTTAGTTAAGGGCAGTTTCACGGGCACTTAGTAGGGTCCCTTTCCCTTTACAAGGGGTACATAACGTGTACCCGTTTATGGGCCCATATTCAGGGACCATGTAACTACCCTTAGAGTTTAGGAGCTCCTAGGTTGCCCTTTAGGAGTTCCTAGGCTGCCCTTGCCCTTCAGGAGCTCCTAGGCTGCCCTTGAGGAGCTCCTAGGTTACCTTTTAAGGAGCTCCTAGGTTACCTTTTAAGGAGCTCCTAGGTTGCCCTTTAGGAGCTCCTAGGCTGCCCTTTAGAGCCTCTTAGGTTGCCCTGTATCGACTCACGGCCTCCGCCATCTTCATCTCCCTGCCCAACGGCCATCTGCTGCGCCATGCCATTCTCGCCCGGCAGCACCCGGCGGCCCGGCTGGCAAGGGGAATGCAACGTGGGTGCAAGGTTAAGCCTAACAAGCCAAGCAAGTTTAGGGTTTGGGGTTTAGGGTTTGGGGGTTAGGGGTTTCGGGTTTGGGGTTTAGGGTTCCGGGTTTCGGGTTTAGGGTTTGGGGTTTAGGGTTTGGTGTAGGGAGGCGGCGGCCAAGTTCCAAGGCCAGGCTAGCAGTAGCAGCCGCTGGTGTCACAAGCGGGGACGTGAACCTGAACCAAGTCAATCCCAAGCTACCGAAGCCCTTAAGCCTATCGACCCCAAACACCTAAACCCTCAACCTTACAAACCCCAAACCCAAACCCTAAACCTAAACCCGAAACCCTAAGCCCAAAGCCCTAAACCCTAAACCCTAAACCCTAAACCCTAAACCCTAAACCCGAAACCCCAAACCCTAAACCCTAAACCCTAAACCCTGTGCTGAGGAAGTGTTCGGCCCGTACCCTGACCTACGGCAAGCCCGGAAGATGCATTCGGAGGGCGGCCTCTGGGGCTCCGTGTGGGAGCAGGCTGGGTCCGGAAAGATAGGGTTTAGGGTTTAGGGTTTAGGGTTTAGGGTTTAGGGTTTAGGGTTTAGGGTTTAGGGTTTAGGGTTTAGGGTTTAGGGTCCAGGGTTCAGGGTTAGGGTTTAGGGTTTAGGGTTAGGGTTTAGGGTTCAGGGTTATAGAGCCACAGTTGTGCATGCACGGGACTGTAGCCTACAGTCGGAAGAGATCGTTCCGTCGATTGCGGAGGTGCAGTTGTCCCGAATGTGTGCAGCTGCCTTGATGCCGCGAGCAAGCGCCTGGGAAAGGAAATGAGCTTCTCAAACGCTAAACCCTAAACCCTAAACCCTAGACCCTAGACCCTAGACCCTAGACCCTAAACCCTAGACCCTAAACCCTAAACCCTAAACCCTCAAACCCTAAACCCGAAACCCGAAACCCTTAACCCTAAACCCTAAACAAGCCACTCAGGGGCAGTGGCGCCCTACTACATGACCACGTCATGCCGGGGGCTGCCGAGCCAATGGTTTCCAGGCACTTGCCTGAGTCAGTGGTTGCTCTTGGACCAAGAGAGAGCCCTAAACCCAAAACCCTAAACGCTAAACCCGAAAACCCTAACCCTAAACCCTGAACCCTAAACCCCAAATCCAACAGACTCTTCATAGTTGAGGAATAATCTACCTTATGCCGTATCACCTTTACAAACGGATCCTTTAATGAGTCGCTCAGGCCGAAGAGGCAACTGCGTGCAGGTGCAGGCCTGGCCTAAACCCTAAACCCTAAACCCTAAACCCTAAACCCTAAACCCTAAACCCTAAACCCTAAACCCTAAACCCTAAACCCTAAACCCTAAACCCTAAACCCTAAACCCTAAACCCTAAACCCTAAACCCTAAACCCTAAACCCTAAACCCTAAACCCTAAACCCTAAACCCTAAACCCTAAACCCTAAACCCTAAACCCGAAACCCGATACCCGATACCCGAAACCCTAAACCCTAAACCCTAAACCCTAAACCCTAAACCCTTAGGGATCCTTAAGAAGGGAGGCCGTTTGGTGCTGCCCTGTAGCTCCATGAGGTGCCGGCCTGCTACCGTGGCCTTGAAGGTCTCCATCGCCTGAGGGACCGGCGATTTAGGGTTTAGGGTTTAGGGTTTAGTTTAGGGTTTAGGGACGCTTCTAAGTAGGGCTATGAGTATGGCAGCTCTACTTTATCCCCATTTGGGGTACTTTTCACCCCTATCCATAAGTACCGCCATAAGTATGGCATCTATACTTATGTGCCTCTTGAGGGTACACAGAACCCTAAACCCTAAACCCTAAGCCCTAAACCCTAAGCCCTAAACCCTAAACCCTAAACCCTAAATCCTAAACCCTAAACCTCAACCCCTAAACCCTAAACCGCCCTGAATGATTTCGCACATGAGAGGAAGGACACTTGGCGATTATCTGGCGCAGTGGCAACAACCAGGAGCCTGCTCGTGTTGTGCAATCTTGAGACTCTTCGCGGCTGGGAAGATTTCTTCATGAAGCTTCATGCGATTAAGAACATCTCATATCTGACATGTATTCGACTGTTGCATTAGACTCGCCCATAAGATGTGCTCTGGGCCATAAGGAGCTCTGGACAGGGTACGGCCGCGTCACGCACATCGATAGCACGGAGCGGATGAAGCGGAAGACACAGCTCTGCCTCTTCTCTGAGTTGATCGCAAAGTATAGGTGCACTGTAGAACCCGATCCTGTGCCACAGGCTTGTTCAGTGTGTGCGCCTAAACCCTAAAACCTAAACCCTAAACCCTAAACCCTAAACCCTAAACTCTAAACCCTAAACCCTAAACCCTAAACCAGCCAAGGTTGGCACTACATGGAGCACGGCACCTGCAGCCAGCCTGATTGTTGGTTTGCCCACGGTGCTGTCCTTGGTTTGGAAGAGTTTGAGGGGGCACGCTCCAGGAGTTTCATCACACAAGGCACATGATAGGATCGCCTGCAAGGTGAGGATGACATTCGAGAGGAGATAGTTGTACTATGTTGTGCTGCTTCGTTGTCTACCTGCACGACTTCTGCTCTCGGAGCAGAAAGAAGACTTGCTATCCATAAGCGTTGCATGGCAGGAGCTTATCAAGGCGACCATCACCCTTAGCAAGTGTTCAGAAGACTCCATGCCAGACTGGGCATCGGAAATCGAAACGAACATGGACGTCTACTTTGCGGCTCTGGCCTTAGACTCCGGGCGCCGACATGCGCCCTCTGTGTCTTCCGTGGGGCAGAACTCTGTAGCCGAGTTTTGCCGGCATGCAAGTGCTCAGGCAATCTTCACCCATGATTTGCAGAGTCTTAAAAGCATCAAAGACTCAGCCAACATGGCCAGAGACCATCAGCGAGCTGCTTGGTTAAGTTTTAGAAGCGCAGCCGTTCATATTCCCATAAATCATGCCCTCATACACTGCATTATTTTGCGCTGAACAGTATAATATACTGTGACAATGCTCCCTCAATGGCAAATGGTAGCTAGCATAGCAGTGGTAGTGGTAGTGGTGGTTGTAGTACGAGCAGTAGCAGCAGTCGGCGCTACTCCCATGATGCTAGCCTAAAGCCTAAACCCTAAACCCTAGACCCTAAAACCCCTAGCCCCTAAGCCCGAAACCATAAACCCCAAACCCTAGACGTGATTATGGCAGCCGAGGATGGTCGGAAATCCATCATCAACCGACTTCTCTTCAAGGCTGGAGGCGCGGTCCGAAGCCGTTTTAAAGTTCCCAGAAGCTCTGAATCCCAACCATTTCCGTCTCTGGAGGTTAGGGGTTAGGGTTTAGGGTTTAGGGATTTAGGGTTTAGGGCTTAGGGCTTAGGGTTTCTGAACCTTGGACCCTAATTTTGTTTGAGGACCTTCAGCCCGTAAGCCCCAAGTTTTTTGGAGGTGTGGGAGGCCAGGCTGGGTGGCAAGACGACGAGGACGGCGGCACGGACATGGGACTCTTGTCTGCAACAGAGGTGCCGTTCCAGGCGTGGGGGGGGGGGGGTTTCAGGGCTTCAGGGCTTCAGGTGTAGAGACCCCAAGAACCCTACATCCCTGATACCCTGAACTTCTGAAACCCCCCAAAAGCCCCAATCCCAAAACCTCGAGACGCCCCACGCGACCACGCAACACTCCCGCAGCCTCCGCGAGGCTCAGCGGAGGGCCTGGCGCCACTGAACACCTTCCAGCAGAAGGGCCTTGACCTTGCCCTGAAGGAGTCAAGATTCCATGGGGAGGGGTTGGGGTTTGGGCCTGGGGTTGTTGGAGTTGTTGTGCCGGGGGGGAGGGGGGTAATCAATACAGTTTCCATGTCATTTTAAGCGATCATCTTTGCTTGGCATGTCGATCACGATGTAGATCGCGCTGGCTTCGAGGGGTGGGCTTCGGTTGCGGCTCCCATGCAATGCTGGTGATAGCGGCATCTGCGCAGGAGGGTTGTTCCAAAAACGGATACCCCCAAGCCCCAAATCCTAAGACTCCTAGACAGCGCTCAGCCCTCATGCGTTCAACCTGGCTCGAGAGCAGTCGGAGAACCAGCTCATGGAGATGGAATTCCCAGTACCCCTTAGTTGGGGAAGGCACCTGAAACTGAACTACGTAGGGTCTAGGGTATTGTGACTGGGCCCTCGAGATATTTTGCATATTGTATTATTAGGTTTAAGAGGATCATATTATAGGAATGTTGCTCAGAGAGGTTTAAGGTCCATCCTAGGTGCTTCTGGTAATGGTTATGATGATGACGATTACTATCATGACTTAAGGTCCATGCTAGGTGATTATGGTTATGATGATGACGAGCACTATCATCACTTAAGGTATACACCTGAAGGTGTCTTGGGCTCTCAGGGGGTTGTCGACATCGTTCCCAGGAGCCACTGGCCTACGTCCAAGGCCCGCGCTTGGTTTAGGGGGGGGGGCCCTTAACCTGCCTTATTCTTATTCTTATTCTTATTCTTATTCTTATTCTTATTCTTATTCTTATTCTTATTATTTTTAGTTTTCTTTTGTATGTTATTATTATTATTATGATTATAATTATTATTCATATTATTATTAAGCGCAAGCTACGGTTTCTGTGAGAGGCCCGCCTGGCACGGGAAAGAGCACCACTGCGGCATATCTGATCTGCCACCTCCTGAATCGGCTGAGCAGGCAGCGAAAGGACTCCGAGTGAGCTTTCAGAGAGCCAGGGCCAGTTATTATTATTCTTATTCTTATTATTGTTATTATTAGTATTTCTATTCTTGTTCTTCTTCTTCTAATTATTGTTATTACTATCTTTCTCATTGTTACTTTTCTTATTATTCCGATTATTCTTATTAGTATTTCTACTACTAGTATTATTCTTCTTCTTGGCAAGTCGCCCCCAGAGACGCAGGAACGCCCGACGGCGCCCTCTCTGCTCGTCTGCTGCCCATCCAACAAGGTGGCTGGGGTTCGACCCCTAAACCCAAAGCCCTAACCCTAAACCCTAAACCCCAAACCCCCTAAACCCTAAACCCGAAACCCCCTAAACCCTAAACCCTAAACCTTAAACCCTAAACCCTAAACCTTAAGCCCTAACCCCTAAACCCTAAACCCTAAACCCTAAACCCAAGTGGGGGTCGATCTAAATTCTGGCTTATTGTGCCCTCAAACTAAAGGAATAACTTTTGTTAGAGACTAACTTGGATCATCCTCCAATGCTGGCTATCTGGCGGCTTTGCTGAAAGATTTGGTACACGAGTGGGACTAGGTCGAGGCATAGCCGCGTCTCGCACGTCTCGCCCACATCCTTTGTTGCTCTTTCTTTCTCTCTGTCTGTCCCTCTCTCTCTCTCTATCTCTTTCTATGTCTCTCTGTCTCTCTCGCTTTCTCTGTCTCTTTCTCTCTCTCTCTCTCTCTCTCTCTCTCTTTCTCTCTTTTTCCAGTACCTCTGTGTGTGTCAGCCTCCATAAAGACAGGCTTGCGACCGGCTGCTCCACCTGCTCTTGCGCACCAACATCGCCGCGACCGTCCGGCGACCTGGCTGCCGAGCCCAGCCCAGGGTTTGGGGTTTAGGGTTTAGGGTTTAGGGTTTAGGATTGAGGGTTTAGGGTTTAGGGTTTAGTGTTTAGGGTTATTGGAGGTTCATGGGTAGCTATAAGTAGGGTTACAAGTACCCTAAACAGGGATATACGTAGTCACCATACTTCTAACCCCACTTATATAACTGCCCATGAACCTCCAAGTAGCTGCCAGACTCTTCAGTTTAGATGTTTATGACTGTCGTGGTTCTTTTTGTGTATCAGGGTTTTCTTATGAGCCTGATTTCTTTACGGTTGTGATTCTGGTTGCAGTCATGATGACGAAGATTGCCTAATTATGGTTATTCGTCTTCAGTCTTCTGACCCCATGACCCCCTAACTCCCTAAACCTTTAAATCCTAAAGCCTGAACATGCCATTCTTGTCAGAAACCCTGAACCCTAAACCCTGAACCCTAAACCCTATAAAACCCTAAGCAAACCCTAAACCCTAAACCCTAAACCCTAAACCCTAAACCCTAAACCCTAAACCCTAAACCCTAAACCCTAAACCCTAAACCCTAAACCCAAAACCCTAAACCCTAAACCCTAACCCCTAAACCTAAACCCTAAACCCTAAACCCTAAACCCTAAACCCTAAACCCTAAACCCTAAACCCTAAACCCTAAACCCTAAACCCTAAACCCTAAACCCTAACTCCGAGGATCGTTCGGGTTTATGCCAGATCCATTGAGCGCTCGTATTGGGCGGAGCCGCACGCGCAGCCACTCGGGCTGGGAAAGCAGCTGGGTTAGGGGGGTGGGGTCTAGGATTTAGGGTTTAGGGTTCAGGGAGAAGGGTTTAGGGTTGAGGGTTGAGGGTTTAGGGTGTCTCGCCGCGCAGCGGCAGTAAGATGTGGAAATGGCGCCCCTGCACACCTAGGGGGTGTGGGGGGGCGGCATGTCACGCGAAGGCATCTGTTTTCAAAGCAATGCAACTACTTTCCATTGGTGCTGGGTTCTTTCTCCCCACCCGCTGTGAGCTCTCACAGGCCACCACCCAAACCATTGCCGTTTAGGGTTTAGGGCTGGTGCCCTCAATTCCCACCATGTGGCGGGGAGCGCACACACCCATACATAAACTTCTGCTCCAAGGTAGAGCCCCAGAAAAAGTTTATTGCCTGTCGTTCGCAATGCTCACTTGTGGAATGCGGTTGCCTCTTCCTGTCTCTTCTGGTTCTGGGCACATTCCAGTGTCTAGTCGCTCTCGTGTTAGATTGCCGCAGCCTCAACGCGCCAGTCGCCTGTCCAGCAGGCATCGACGGACTTGGTCATCGATTTGCTCGCTTAATTTTATCAAGAGAGTTGAAATTTTCATCAAGCGTATTGCCAGCTGTGGAATCAAGGCAGGTTCGCGGCTGGCATCCTTTGCACAAGGCAGACGCGGGCAGTGTGATGCGCCAGCAGGTTTGGGACCAGTTTTGGCAATCACAGCAGGCTATCGTTTCATCTGCGCAATGCGGTCAGATTGCCAGCTGGTCTGTCGCGGAATCAACAGATTTGGGCAGTGCGATGTGCCAGCAGACTTGGGGCCAGTTCTGACAGTCTCGGCAGGCGATTCTCATACCTGCGCAGTGCGGCCGGATGGTCAGCTAGTTTGTTTCGGAAACAACCAACATAAGCAGTGTGATGTGCCAGCAGACTTGGGACCAGTTTTGGCAGTCTCAGCGGGCGATTGGCATACTTGCGCAGTGCGGTCAGATGGTCAGCTAGTCTGTTTCGGCAGCAACAGATTCGGGTGTGATGTGCCAGTAGACTTGGGACCAGTTTTGGCAGTCTCAGCGGGCGCCTCTCATACCTGCGCAGTGCGGTCAGACGGTCAGCTAGTCTGTTTCGGAAGCTGCAGTGATCACAAGTGTGATGTGCCAGCAGACTTGGGACCACTTCAGGCAATCTCAGTGGGCGGTTATCATACCTGCGCAGTGCGATCAGACGGTCAGCTAGTTTGCTTCGGAAACAACACATTTCGGCAATGTGTTGTGCCAGCAGACTTGGGACCAGTTCTGGCAGTCTCAGCGGGCATGAATCACACCTGCGCAGTGCGGTCAGATGGTCAGCTAGTCTGTTTCGGAGACAACCAACATAAGCAGTATGAAGTGCCAACAGACTTGGGACCAGTTCTGGCAGTCTCAGCAGGCGATGCTAATACCTGCGCAGTGCGGTCAGACGGTCAGCTAGTCTGTTTCGGCAGCAACGACTATGGGCAGTGTGATGTGGATGGCCACGCAAAAAGAGCGTTGCTGAGGGCATATTAACCTCAGCTACAAAACCCTAAACCCTAAACCCTAAACCCTAAACCCTAAACCCTAAACCCTAAACCCTCAACCCTCAACCCTCAACCCTCAACCCTCAACCCTCAACCCTCAACCCTCAACCCTCAACCCTCAACCCTCAAGCCTCAACCCTCAACCCTCAACCCTCAACCCTCAACCCTCAACCCTCAACCCGAACCCTAAACCCTAAACCCTAAACCCGAAACCCGAAACCCTAAACCCTAAACCCTAAACCCTAAACCCAAAAACCGTAAAGCCTAAACCCTAAACCCTAACCCCTAAACCTCAAAGCCCTTTCAAGATGACGGAGAATGAAGTTCCCTCTCAAAGCCTTGGGGTGCGACCATGTCCATGTTCAAGGTTCAGGCTTAGTCTGTGGAGTTGAGTATGTCATTTGCCTATGGGGGGCAGCCGACCTGTGAGGTTTCGTCGCGACTACCAGATCGATCCCGAGCTGTGCCCATATGCTTTGCTTCTTGCCTTCGTGGGTTTAGGGTTTAGGGTTTGGGGTTTAGGATTTAGGGTTTAGGGTTTAAAGTTTAGGGTTTTGGTGCGACGTCGGAGTTCCTGCGAGAGATGCAGTCAGGCACGAGCAAGTGATGAGGGAGGACGCGGACCTTTACCAGCTCTTCCAGGCCTTCTTCCCAGCATTTGACGGTTTAGGGTTTACGGTTTAGGTGTCTTCCATGCCCCATGTGCCACATGTGCCACATCTGCCACGTGCATGACCACAAGCCCGGTGCAGGACATCGCGTCCCAGCTGAAAAACGCCGGTGCCCGCAGCTCGATGCAGGGTGTGCTAGGCAACCGGTAGATTCGCCTCGTGCGCAGAAAGGCTGAGCTTGAAGACTCCCTAAGGCCCCAGCGCCAGAGAATCCACAACCCTAAGCCCTAAACCCTAAGCCCTAAACCCTAAACCCTAAACCCTAAGCCCTAAACCCTAAACCCTAAATCTTAAACCCTGAACCCTAAACCCTAAACCTCTGCAAAGGAAAAGACATGATCGCTGAGCGGCTGAAGCTGCATGACGCCCTGAAGCAGGCGCTCTGTCTCTCAAGGGGCAGGCTTTCCGGAAGGAGCTATTGAAGCTCTGCACTGAGGAATTTTGAGGCCCTAAACCCTTAACCCCCAAACCCTAAACCCTAAACCCTAAACCCTAAGCCCTAAGCCCTAAACCCTAAACCCTAAACCGTAAACCCTAGACCCTAAACCCTAAACCCTAAACCCCAAGCCCCACGTTTCCTCTCATCCTCGCAGGCTCGGCAACAGAAGGACAAGCTGTCAAAGCAGCTGCTGAAGCAGGCGCAGTTTATGGGTTTAGGGTTTAGGGTTTAGGTTTTAGGGTTTAGGGTTTAGGGTTTAGGGATGTTTAGGGTTTAGGGTTTAGGGTTTAGGGTTTAGGTTTTAGGGTTTTAGGGTTTAGGGTTTAGGGTTTAGGTTTTAGGGTTTAGGGTTTAGGGATGTTTAGGGTTTAGGGTTTAGGGTTTAGGGTTTAGGGTTTAGGTTTAGGGGTTTAGTAGTGCAGCTGGTCATGAGTTATATTGTGTCAGCCTTTGCCCCACACCTGCGGAGGCCAATGTGATCTTCACCACTTGCGACTGTGCGTCGAACGACAAGCTCTTTGAAAAGATGACCTACCCAGCAGTTGCCAGGAGCTCAAGCGTGGCTGTGCATGGAGGTTCATGAGTAGTTCTAAGCAGGGTTATAAGTATGGCAACTCTACTTGAATCCTAAACTCAAACCCTAAACCTCTGAACCCTAAACCCTAAACCCTAAACCCTAAACCCTAAACCCTAAACCCTAAACCTAAACCCTAAACCCTAAACCCTAAACCCTAAACCCCTGAACCCTCAACCATTCCAGCGCAGGTCATTGACGAAGCGGCGCAGGCTGTGGAGCAGCGCGACTCCGGTTTTAGTAGCGACCGAGAGGTCCTGAGACGTTAGGAGCCCAAGATAGCGAGTGAGAGGATGAACATAAGGGTTTAGGGTTGTTCTTCGGGTTTAGGACCCTAAGCCCTAAACCCTAAGCCCTAAACCCTAAGCCCTAAACCCTAAACCCTAAACCCAAAAGGAGCGTGTAACTACCTTAAGAACTTGAGGGCCCTTGTCTTGTGTGAGAGCACTGCGCATCTTCTTTGGGGCCTAGGTTTGAGCTCGCCAGCTGCTGCATTCTTGCGGAGGTGCCCTGGAGTTAACCCTGTCAAGGCTTCAGCCGTCGCAATTCTTCCCACTCTTCTCTGTTCTCGGCCTCCTAAGACTCAGAGGCCCGAAACTCCCAAGCTCCCTAAACCCTAAACCCTAAACCCTAAACCCTAAACCCTAAACCCTAAACCCTAAACCCTAAACCCTAAACCCTAAACCCTAAACCCTAAACCCTAAACCCTAAACCCTAAACCCTAAACCCTAAACCCTAAACCCTAAACCCTAAACCCTAAAGGAGCACTTGGCCCTTTTTGGAGACCACCTCCAGCTCGGCCCCGTGCTGACGGAGACGACTCTGTTCCCGGCCTTCAGGCGCATGTTCACCAGCACCTTGGGCATGTCAAGAGGGCAGCAGCCGAACAGTCACGAACCCTGAGCCCTAAACCCTAAACTCTAAGCCCTAAACCCTAAGCCCTAAACCCAAAAACCCTAAACCCTAAACCCAAAACCCGATGATGATGGTGGTGGTCGTGATGAGCATTGCGATGAGGACGAGGACTATGGCCTGACGACACTTGTTTTGGTGGTGTTGGTGGTGGTGAGGGTGATGCTGGTGGTGATGGTGGTGATGATAGTGATGATTATGATGATGATGCTGCTGATGAATGACGACGACGACGGTGACGACGACGTCCGCATCACCACCACCGCCACCGCCACTACCGGCAAACATCAGCACGACATGCGCAATCACGTAGATTCTATTACCCATTTTTCCCCTGCACCTCGTGGCGTCTGCAGCCAGATGGCTTGCCCAGGATCACTCTTCGAGCGGGTTGTCTCGAAGCGCCAAGACAGAACGTCGTCCTCGGGTATTCCTCATGTTACGCTGAAAAGGCGAGGGGCGAATGACTTGGTGTTTAGGTGATCTCAGCACCATCGCAGATGGACCCTACTGTCTGCTTCGGGTCCTCCGTTTGTTTGGGCTTCTGTCGATGTTGAATTGAGCATGTGTATCCATCGGTCGTGGAGGCAGTACCGCATGCATCCGTCGATCAGCTTCTTCGCGAGCGAGGAATTCTACGACAATGAGCTGCTTGCCGTTGATGTCGAGCAGAGTTGTGATTCTAGGGCAGGCACGGAGTTCGCCTCTGGCGGTGGACTTAGCATAAGCCCTGAACAGAGTGGGGCGGATAAGACTCGGCTTTTGCCCGTGAAGACATGGCCACTGTCCCTTGCAATCTCTACAAAGGCTCGTCAACGCTTCAGAAACTGGCCGCGATGGCTACACCTTGCCCTCATCATCAGACTCGAGGCTTGTGGTCGTGGATGTGACAGGCCCGTCAGCTTCGCTGTGTGGATTTGATGCGGGGGTTATTCAGAAAATTCGGTCCCCATTCGAACCTTTTGTTGCAACATACTCTACACATCCACACAGAGTATTCGGATTCCAAACAGGGCCACTGATGTCGACCACCCCTGCAAACGTCGTTTAGAGCATCCGGCAGTTCTGCCGGAGTCTTGCGGAGTCTTGCGGAGTCTTGCCGGTCAATCGCTTGCCCAAAGACAACCCTAAACCCTAAACCCTAAACCCTAAACCCTAAACCCTAAACCCTAAACCCTAAACCCTAAACCCTAAACCCTAAACCCTAAACCTTAAACCCTAATGTGAGGACCCCACGGCCGGCGCACTGTGGCCCCTGAGGGTGACGCAGTGCTCGACTACGAGCACTCCTTGTGCAACCCTGCGGAGGTCCGCCTCACGAAGTTTCCCAGTAGACCCCTCTGTAATTTTCGGTCTCATGTCTAGGTAAACCCTAAACCCTAAACCCTGAACCCTAAATCCTAAACCCCTAAACCTTAAACCCTAACCCCTAAACCCTAAACCCTTCTTCCTACTATGCAACCTCGGCCAGGCTGCTGTTGTTGTGGACTATGTTCGGTGGCTGCTGAGTCTGGGCGTAGAGCCCGCCAGCATTGCCGTCATCACACCCTACAGGGCAACCCGACATGCATTGAGCAGCCCGGGGCAAAAAATGCGCTTAGCATGGCCGCCTTTGCTTCCGTCTCTGCTTGTGGCCCTAAACCCTACACCCTAAACCCTAAACCCTAAACCTAAACCCTAAACCCTAAACCCTAAATCCTGCTTCTCACAGAAAGAGCCTTGGCAAGGCGCAGGCGGCGCTGAGGCTTGTCTCTAATGTTTCAGATATGCTTCGGAGCAGCACCACGTTTTGGCGTGTTCGATGCAAGGTCTGGTCTAGGCACCCGGTACCGCAGGTCCCGAACCCAAGCCTTGCACTTCCAATCCTAAACCCTAAACCCTAAACCCTAAACCCTAAACCCTAAACCCCAAACCCTAAACCCTAAACCCCAAACCCTAAACCCTAAACCTCTGCAGCCCTAATGAAACCGGGACAAAGACTCCAAATCCTGAAGGCAGATACTTGGAGTCCGACTTGGAGGGTCATCTGTAGTTTTAAGTGGGGTTATAAGTACCCTGGGTAGGGTTATATGCATAGTAGATATCATACTTCTGACCCTACTTATAGCTACCCATGAAACTCCAAGTACCAGCTCAGTGTAGCCGAGGATCACTGAGAGGCTGGAAGGTGTCTCGCCCATGCCGACTATAGGCACGGTGCAACCTGTCTTTGACCTGCCTGACGTGTTGGGTACCCTCACCACGCAAAGGGGCATAGGGACCATTTGTAACAGGGACTTGAAGGAACCAAAATTTAGAGACCTGACCATTCGAACTTTAGCTTTCGTAGGTTTTGCATGCCAGCGAATGTGGCAGTTTTAGGTGCTGCGATGTTGCCTTCCCATCTGAGATATTGCGTGGGCGCTCAGGCACCTTCTGCAGGGCGAAGAGCGCGAGTATGCGTCCTGCCTCGCACTGTGCCGTCCCGTCACTCCCTGTTGTGCTCAAACCTTCAAACTCTTAACCCTAAATCCTAAACCCTAAACCCTAAGCCCTAAACCCTAAACTCCCCCAAAATCCTTAACCCTAAGCATCTGAGGTCGCCCTGTCCCTGGTTCGGAGCTTTGCGGAGGCGGACACAGAGGCCGGGAAGGAGTGTTCATGCTTCGAGCCCCCCATGATGTCAGAGTGTAGGGTTTGAGGTTTAGGGTTTAGGGTTAGGGTTTAGGGCCCAGGGTTTAGGGTTTAGGGCAACCCCTTCTGAGGACGTTCTTCAAGAGGGTTTAGGGTTTAGGGTTTAGGGTTTAGGGTTTAGGGTTTAGGAGCTTGTGTTCCCATGGTGAGGTTTTTGACCCTGTGCCCGCTGCACTTCGGCGAGCGGGCGGACATCAGCTGGGCTTCCTGAAAGACAGGTGCCCTACCTGAAGGCCCTAAACCCTACACCCTACACCCTAAATCCTAAACCCTAAACCCTAAACCCTAACCTTAAACCCTAAACCGTAAACCCTAAACCCTAAACCCCAAACCCCAAACCCTAAAACCCTAATACCCTGAACCCTAACCCCTGAACCCCGACACCCCCCAACCCTCAAAACCCTTCTCCCTAGACCCTAAACTTCCACAGCTTCCTACATTCTTGCCGGTCGCCCGTCCTGTGAAGCTTCCTGAGGCTGTGCGAGTCGGCATCCCTTTTGTTTCGGGTTTAGGTATCTAGTATTTCGGGTTCAGGTATTTAGGTTTAAGGGTCTTAGGAGAACCAATATCTAGAGTTTAGGTACTTCGGGTTCAGGTATTTAGGGTTGAGGGTTTTAGGATGTTTTAGGAGAGCCAAGGCGACTTGCCAACGTTGCACTGACGCGTGCGCAGCTGGGCCTGCTGGTTGTCGGCAACATGCAGGCCTCAGTTCTCGGGCGATGGATGCCGCCTTTTTGTGCAGATTTTTTTATTGTGGCATTGCTTGTGGCCCGGTTACTATTGGGGTTGAAATAATTTACTAGTAATGGTCCCTTTACAGCCAAACTATCATAACTCCCCCCCCCCAAAGCCCCATTCTAATTATGAAGGCCCCTATATATTCCCCCCCCCCCCCTCCCACCCCCCCATTTCACAGTAGCTGGCGTCAAGATGCCATAGCGGCTTGAGTCTCCTCCTCCTCCTCCTCCTCCTCCTGCCCCAGCAAGCAACACATGCCCGAGCCCGCTACCACAAACATATCAATGATGGTAGCAACCAGCATAACATCAGTCGAAATAAGCAAAATAGTAGCTTTTCTATCATCCGTTATACTCATCACAACGCCTACCCCGCGCCCCTGAAAGACTCGATCTTCAGCAGGTGTTGTCCGGAGCGCTGCACTGGAAGAACTTGGTCGAGCACGTGAAAGCCGAGAATGTCGATGCATACTGGACGGAGGCAGTTTAGGGTTTAGGGTTTAGGGTTTTAGGGTTTAGAGTTTAGATTTTAGGGTTTAGGGTGCACCCTTTGGGGGCAACTCGCCTTTTGTGGAGCGGTTCGCGCGATTCGGAAACTGCATGCGATTCAGGAAACCAGGATCCAGGAAACTGGGCGTCTCAGGAGAGGCAAGTTCAGGGAACCAAGCGATTCAGGAAGCGCATTTGTCGCGATTCAGGAAGCTGCCAGATTCAGGGGGTCGCAGGGTTGGTGGGGGGGGGATGCTACAGTAGCGTTTCATGTCACAAGGATTAAGGGTTAAGGGTTTAGGGTTTAGAAAACTTTGAGATTCTCGGATCCGCAGTTTCCCGAATCCGCGCTTTTCCCGAATCTGCGGTTTTCAGTTTCCCGAATCTGCTTTCGGAGTTTCCGAGTGGCGTTTTTGGTTTCTCAAATCCGCCTTTTCTAGTTTCCTGAATCATGTTTTGCCCAGCTTCCGAGGTCACGTGTTTTCAGTTTCCGGATTCGCTGCTGACCAGCTTGTTGAGCCCTAAATCCTAAACCCTAAACCCTAAACCCTAAACCCTAAAACCCTAAACCCCTAAACCCCTAAACCCTAAACCCTCAACCCTGAAACCTCAGCCCTGAGCCCTTAACCCTAAGCCCCAAACCCTCAGCCCTTAGCCCTATGCCCCAAGAAGCCCTAGAGCCCTAAAGCCCTAAGCCCTAAGCCCTAAACCCTAAACCCTAAACCCTAAACCCCAAGAAGCCCTTGGAGGAAGAGGCGCGAAACTTCCTGACGACCACCGGCTTCCAGGCTCCCAGCCGCGGCGCGGCACGTTGGGAGCAGGAGCTGCACGTGGGTCCTATAGACTAGACTCATTTACACCCGCTTGTGGTTTAGAGTTTCTTGTGAGGTTTAGGGTTTAGGGTTTAGGGTTTCGGATTTAGGGCTTAGGTTTCAGGGTTTGGGGTTGAGGGCTGAGGGTTTCGGCTTTAGAGTTGAGGGTCGAGGGTTGAGGGTTGAGGGTTGAGGGTGGAGAGTGTAGGGATTAAGGGCCTGGACGCTGAAGCAGTACCCATCGCGTCCAGGATGCTGGCATCAGCGGTTCGGAGTCCGAAGGCGCGCGTCGTGTGCACAGAAATGCACATATATAATATACACATACATTCATGTATAGGTATGTACACACACAAGTACTACATGTACATCTATGTAAGTAAATAGACATCACATGTGTCATATACACATGTCTATCGGTATACGTATCTGATATATAATATATATATATATGTATACATATACATATTTTCTATATCATATACGTATATGTATATATATATATATAAACATAGATACACATGCAGACGTGAGTTTGTCGGGTTCAAGGTCCTCGGACCTCATTCCTTTGCAGGTGGTGATCCCGAAGATTCATCGGGAGGCGGAGATGAGGAGGTGAGCTTAGTTTCGAGCGCATCACATTTGGAGAGGGTTGCCCTGGCATCACTTCCTTTAGGAAAGGGACCCTGACGACGAGCCCGATGCCTTCGAAGGCCGGGTTGGGTATCATTTAGCTGTTCGTCATATTCAGCAGAAGAAGCTTCCCTCATGTTTAGTAGCTCTGATCTGTCAGATCCGGTGCCCTCGGCCAGCGATGCCGAGAGCGCGGACGCACCGGCTGCTCCACCAGCGGAGGCCAAGAGGCAGAGGCGCGCTGTGCATTTGGCAGCTTGGGTTTGACCCTCAACCCTAAACCCGAAACCCTAAATTTAAGAGCCTCCGGCTCAAGCCGCCGACCCCGCCAGAGCATAGTTGAAAGGTCTAAACCCGCTCGTCGGCTCAAAGGATGCTTTCCTCATCGCATGGTTCGAAGAGCATCGCAGCCTGCTCGGCAGAATCCCAAAAAGTTGTGAAACGCTCACGCCTCTGTGAAACGTGGGGGGGGGTAGGGGGTAGCACCAGGACCCAAACAGTTTAGGAGCTGAAGCAGCTTGGGGCAATTTGTTGAACAAAGGCCAGACCCAGCACCCGTGTTTGGGTGGGGGGGGGTTGCAGGTATGGGTGGCCCTCTTTGATGCCTGATTACGAATTGAGGGGGGGTGGGGGGGGTAGGGGGGCGCGGTGCCGGGGGGGGTGGGGGGGGGTCCCTATATGCCCTGTGCGAAACCGCCTATGGTCCATGAGTTTACGCGGTGTGGGTGGCCTGGCCCTCCACGGAAAAGCTGCCGGGGTACCCCCCCTCC